CTGCGAGGGACTGAACCCAGAATTATTGAGTTGTGAGCAAACAACTGATCAATGTGCTATAGGATGTCCCAGAGATATGCAATTTCTGTGGTCTACTGTATACGGTGAAACTAACGAATGTTAACTTGTGGATTCAGTTACTGCCTGATAGTGAAGCAGTCTAATGAAGTAATTTTCAGTATAATGACATTAAAATTTGTTTATTCAGCAATTGTAACAATGAACCAAAGATAACTGAATCGACCTTTTAATAAATGTACGACCATACTGTAATTTTGAACATTCATAAGGCTCTCTTGAGATGATTTTGGGGCTTTAGCGTCCCCACAGACCCTCAACCAGACCTCCATTTTGTTACACCCCCCCAGGGAAGCAGCCGTCTAACTCCCAGGTATCTGCTAGGTAACAGGGGCATCAGGGTGAAAGAAATATTTTGCCCATTTGTCTTTGCCTCCACCGGGGATCGAACCCGGAACCTCAGGACTACAAATCCGAAGCCCTGTCCACCCAGCTGTCAGGCTGTCATAACCAATTTCATAGATTGTCAGTAATCATCACAGTGCAAGATGTGAAGATTGCTGAAAAATACACAATACTGTACTGCATTGTTTGCCATGGGTAGTGAATTTTACACAAAGTCTTATCAAGTTGAATAGCTTTCTACACTTCTGGTGAGGAGCAAAATCACTTTCCTTTTCTGCTGGGTAACAAAGATATTCACACGATTGTATGTGCAACACGCTTAGCAACTTTTACTACTGAAAAAATCTCATAACCATAGTTATCTGTATTCTTTTGACAGTATAATTATTAAGACAATAGATCAGTTGCAGAATGCTGACCATGGCTGCTCTACAGAGTAGTATATCAGATTACATTTGCAATTAGAACCTCATTTAGGTCTCTTTTGTACAAGATGGGAAATAACAAAATTCTTGCAACAGCAATTGGCACCTGCTCATGAATATAACAAAAACAGTAGTTCAGTAACTGCTCTCTAGTATTTTAAGGGCTTCTTCAGATCTAACCAATAAAGTACAGCATAGCATTAACTTTGCCTATAAAAAAAATAATGATAATTGTTAAAAATTTTATGGACAAATTTACCATTTATTTGGGTGACAATACCTTAATATAAGCATTTAAGCCATGGGTAGCTCTATACATAACTTTACATTATTGTCCAATGAAGTATGCCAACTTAACACAGGCAAGTAACAACAGAAAAAAAAAGGAAATATACAGTACTGCAATAATCTCTTGTATACCCACCAAATTCAAAGTAAACAATAGTACTATTTATTAAAGAAAACCCCATGAATAGTTATTTAGCAAATGTTTTAAAGTGTTCCATCAGTAGCCTTTAACAACTGAATGTATAATTGTTGTAACGTCAAGAAAATACTGTGCACGAAAAACTTCATAAGACTAAAGACATCAAATATATAAACAAAATTATGCTCTGTAAGCTTTTATTGAGTTTAGCTGACCCCTGCATGGTCTTTGTCCCCTAAAATTAACATTTTTCTTCAAGATGCTGATGAAAGCATTTCAGGCACAGGAACATAGATGGGCACATTATAGCAATGGTAAAGCTGCCGAAAAAGATTAACATGTCGGTGAAATTCTTGGTGCAGTAATCATGGGCACATAAGTCATTTTCCTACTATACTAGCCAAGAAAATGGTTCACAATTCTTAACAGATCATGTTATATTATTAATTTAAAAATAAAATTGTGCATTTTACAAAGATAAACTTTTGGAAAACCTTATTAAATTTTATACAAATTTAAAATGTTAATTATAGCACATGTCATTGGTTGCAAATAATTTTTGTGACTTCTATTGTACAATTTCTTAATCTAACAAGCAAGCAGTCCCCACATCTTTCAAAATCAATGAGCCAATTTTCTTAGTAACTCCATACTATAAAGCCATTGATATTTGTGATGCTTCATGCAAGTAAAGTAGTATTAAATAAATAAGAATTAAGGGGTCACTATTAATGTTTAATTTTGAACACCCGTTAAATGAATTAAATATGATTACCGAGTATCCATAACTTGTGTATAATCTTTTCACAAATCGAGCAGAATCTTATAAATTATACCAACTTGCATTTCAAGTACAGGACTGTATTTCCTTCAAGAAGCTCTTCTGAACATATTACTTTGCTACAGTTTATCAAGTTAATTTTCTCAAGTGGCGAGGTATATTGTCTTTTCTGACTTTTCTGGATGGGGTGGGTAGGAGGCTGAGCAAGAGGTTCCTTCCAAGCATCAAGGAACAAACACCATCATAATACTGTATAAAGGAAAATACTGTACTTCCTGGGAACTTTCAGTAGTATGATATTCAAACCCAGTCAAGTCAAATTAAAAAAAATAAAAAATAAAAATTCAACTGGACAGCCTTCATTAAGTGAAGCTCATTAGGGTTGAAATGCATTAATGGAAAATATCTTGTTAGCACAACAAAATGCGTGTTCATAAAAAAAACAACTAAAACATAACAGAAAAGACTGGCTGTCACAAAGGATAACAGGATTGGACAACAACACAGGAAAAAGTGAAATGGCAATATAATATAAAAACAGGTAAATGATGCAAAAAGTACTGTACTACAAATAAACAAGATAAAATAATGAGAAAACAGAGACAGAAAATTGTGCTCAAATTAAATGGATAAAAGAAGACAGGAGTTAAGGAAGGTGTCAAGGGTAAAAACAACAAAAAATAATATATACTGTATATATATATATATATATATATATATATATATATATATATATATATATATATATATATATATATATATATATACAGTATATACATACATACACATACACACAGTACATATAGTTGCACTAAAGAAAAGTTATTAGATTACACTAAGTCTCCAGGTACCATATTATTATACTCTTAACCCCTTTTGTTTTCATTAAAATGTTTTACTGTTATTTAGTACTATACTGTATTAGTCATGCCCCAACAGTAATAAGTTTTGTTAGCTAAGTTAAAGAAAATAATTGTTTACGCTATCTGCCAACACTACTAGTATAGGACAATGTGTATGTGTATGTATATGTATATGTTGTACCTAATAGCCAGTGTTGCCTAACAAGCCAAATTTTGTGAAATATTTAAATTTTCAAACTAATTTTCTTATGAAATGCTAAAGTTTTCATTGTATTATATATGAATGTAAGTTTAGGTTCAGTCAAAATAGAAATTTGATCAAACTTAACCTAACCTATCCTAACACAAGCTAATATTACTAAGTCAGTAATTCATGTTCCTAATAGATATTCTTTTAATTTTATTTATATATACAAGAGTTCTTACATTCTTGAAAGTCACTAGCACACATAGCATTTTGGGCAAGTACTTAATCCTAATTTCCCCCAGAATACGATCCCCCAATTCATTTAACAACCAGGTACCCATTCACTGCTGGGTTACCAGAGGCTACAGTTTAGGATCGGCAACCAGCGACCCTCCCAGGCCAGGATTTGAACCCAGGCCAAAGAGCTTGCAAAACACCGGGCTAGTGCTTTATCACTGTGCCACGGAGAATACAAAATTGTTTATCTATTGGGACACTGGGACTGGGACTGTTTCTATTGTTAGAAAAGAACCAATCTGGAAAGAAATATTTTAAAATAATGAAAATCATTCTGCCTGTTAGGCACATTGGACCTTGCATATTAAGCAAACAAGTGTAGTTCTGACAATTAGGCACAACATACATACATATTATATATGTATGTATGTATACACTATATATATGTTTATGTATATGTACACTATATATATATATATATATATATATATATATATATATTTATATTTATTACACACACACAGTGGTATCTCAGTTTTCAAATTTAATCCTTCCCAGAGACAATTAAAAAATCGAAATGAATTTTCCCATAAGAAATAAAGTAAATTGAATTAATCCGTTCCACACCCCAAAAATATTAACTAAAAAATACATTTTATACAGACTAATACTCATAGGTACCTTACCTTTAATGATGACTCTTGGGGTATGGAAGACAGTGAGGAAGGGGTAGGAGGAAAGATGCTAGTGTTTGGAAGGGGGCGTCCCCCTTCCCTTATAACAGCAGTGATGACATTTCTGGGGGTACTCTCTTACATTTTGCAGGCATACCACTAGGACCTAGTTCTGGCTCACTGCTTGCTTGTCTTACTAAGACTCGGTTTATAGACACTTGTCTGCAGGAAGACATCACATTCTCACTATGAATGATCTCTTGTTTTTCCTCTATCATCATCCTCAACTATTTTCTTAGGTTGAACTTTAGCACTGACTTTCTTGGAACCCATGGTTTGATAAATAATTTAAACTTTTATATTCAGAAACCAAAAAAGGCCAAAAACAATGAAATTCTTCACAAAAAATACAAGCGCAGTTGTCACTAGGTATGAAACACTAGTAAATTGAAGTGCGCCATGTGCTCGGTCAGCCCATATGTGTATCAATAAACTCGAACACCAAGACAAACTTTAAGTACCATGTCAAAATTTTTGAAGAAATTGAGCTCGAGAACTGAAAAATACGGAAACTGGCATTCGAAAACCGAGGTGCCACTGTATGTTTGTGTAATAAATATATGTATGTATGTGTGTGTGTGTGAGGGGGGAGGGAGAAAGGGGTGAGAGGTGAGGTGTGTGGAAAGGGGAGGAGAGAGAGGAGGAGGAGGAAGAAAGAGAAAAAAGAGGGGAGGGAGGGAAAGTGGGAGAGAGGGGTTAAAGAGGAAAAAAAATTCTATCCCTGAGAGTTCACCAGAAACTCAAATGCTTGTCTTAATACACATTTGCACTTAAATCATAAATACATTATGTTAACAGCAAATGGGCATAAAGGCAATAAGTAACATGTGTTTCATAATGTCATAATTGATTTTTACTTAACTATATTTCATGTATGATAATGCACATAAAAACAGGTTCCCTTTCTGGTAACAAAATTCTCATTAAGCTTGATGTTTATTGAATATAAGGACAGCTACAAACTGTTACTTAAAACATATTGCAGGAATATGGAAAAAAGTATAAAACGAATGTTCACAGTAGCAGTTCATAATGTCCAGTATCATATCACACTTTTCATACTTGGGCTTCCACTTATTTGTCGAGACAGGGCCATGACAGTGCTCCACCCACACTCACTTCAGGCTTAATTGACATTCTTATCTAACTCCTCAGATGATTGGGTAGGTGCCACTGTCGTCCCCCAAGCCCAAGTCCTGCACAATGCGAGAACTCAACACTGAGGTATTCAATCTTTCACGGGGGGTTCTACAGAAAACATATAGTCAATTAACATGGCAGAGTCAAGCTAGGTAGGATGAGCTGTACTGAAAAAATGTTGATTTACTGACCTGAAAATACACAACAGGATGACACCCTTTAAACAGTTTACTAATGCACATACTGTATTACTTCAACTGCATTGTCACCTAAAACGTTTTGTTGTCCCAAAAATTCATGCAAGCCTAACAAACACCTGACTGTGCATCTGAGAATAGTAATGAACAAATACTATAAGAGCAATTTTTGGCACAAAACAAACACTGGAAATAATGTTAAGAGTGAAGGGTGTACCACCTGGAGGTTAGTCTAACGAGCTGGATAATCTCGTCTGGTTTAAACATGTCGAAACAGAATGAGAGTTCCTTAATAAGCAGCTCAGCTCTGTGCTTTGCTCGAGATATCATATATTGCCTAAACTTAAACATGGCTGGTAACAATTAGAGGTACCTTGAGCAGGCTCTGTCCATGAAGTGAAGAGCCCAGTACTACACTTTCACTGGATAACCGACAGTTCCGGCAACTTCATCTCCCCCCCCCCCTTCCATGATCAGTGAGCAAAAAGTTTACATAACTCTCAACAATTTATTAATAAAGAAAGAAAGAAAGAAAGAAAAAAAAGGAAACTCAGTTGCATTCCCATTTTGTGCTGCTGCACATTCCACCAAGTGTTTTAAGGTTCAATACAGTAATCACATGCCTAATTCTAATTTCAGTATCTAAAAAATATGACCTATCTAATATGCTTGATTTTGATAATTCTATGATGAGATCCACCTTCTCTTCCTCTTAAAAGTAGAACCCAAATTCGTCGTCATAGTGTTTGCTTCAGATGGAGCGTATCGCAATTCTGGGCAACACCAACAACCACAATTAATTAAGCAGGTGACCATCAAATTTGGATAGGGGCAAGGTCCTACCCCAAATGTATTCAACATAAAATAATACATTTTATTCATTATAAAATAATATATTAAAAAAAGTCTTGAGGTGAAATTTGGAGGGTTTCCTCTGTTAAAGAACTACCATCATAGTCTTGCTCAGGACCAACTTAAAGAAGCCAACTTTGATGAGACGATGCCGTCGGATGATAGCCAGAAAGCTGCAATTGAAGCTGAATTCAGGGTGCGAAACAAAATCCAAACTTTCTAAAAGTAGGGTTTGACTGAGTAGTTTAATATCTATAAGAGCACTGTGGATTCGAGTAAGGAAAGGCAATCTCTCCTTCCTGTCTTAACCTCCACAAATTGTCATATTCCAGACAACTCACCGAAGTCCACCCCGAGCAAGGTGACAAACTACCTCTGTACTAATGCTCTTTCAAAGGTATAAAATACCTGTTAACAATTGGGGAAACATTACACTTAAACCATTTTATAAGATACTAACTGCAAAGTGAAGATATGCGAGTTTGAAACCTTGCTTTGACATACATTGGTGAAATCAATGTCTACGATATGCCTATGAGCTTTTTCACGATTACTCTTTCCCTGGGGCAAGTTTAAGAGGTTTCACCGATTATTCACACTGTGACCCTGATCAGATATAATGCCACGTGGATGCCAAACATTTAACCGTCTAGCATCTGGTCCCAGTTTCTTACACTACCAAAACACTTAATTGCACACATCTTTGCAAGTTTATTATTTTGAATGTATATGTATATGTGTATATATACATACATACAGTATATTATATATTATATATATATATATATTATATATATATATATATATGCATATATGACACTTTTTGATTAATGTATTCACATTTGAAAACCAATTTTCACTCTCTTTAATACAATGGTCACATTGGAGACCACTGTCACTTTTAACTTGTTTGCCAACAATTGTAAGATATTTCGATATCAGTTCCTTACAGGCTGGCAGTTGTTGCTGTCCACACTTAAGACCTTTTGTGATATCTTGGGAATCACCGCCACACCACTATTTCCTCCTTAAAACCTGAAGGGGAAAAAAGGTTTTAAAATTAATATTCAATTTTAATTGAACATTGTAAAAAGGGACACACATTTTAATATCTTTAAAGATGCAGGGCATGAATTTCATTAAAAATTTTTTTTTTACTAGATTAAAACATGTTCTGGAGTCTGCTTATGTGCTATCCCCTCTTAGGTGAATCAGGCACAAGTTGATAAGGGTTCAGAATGGATCAAAATGTGATCGCTTTCATTTCATGTGTGGATTGGGTTGTCTCAAAACTAGGACATTCTCTGGCATGCATCACCTTCTCCAAAGCCCATAAATGCTTTTAATCTTCCAATTTGCAATACAGTACTGTTTATTGTACATTTTTTTAACATACAAATATTTGCAAATTATCACCTTTTATAACCTCAAATTTCAGCAGCAAGAGGATATTTATGCATCAAGCATAAAGCCTCTGGTAAAGATGTAAAGTTTGTAAGGCTGTTTATTTTCAATCGGTACAATTTTGTTACCTGCACATATCCGTTAATGATTGTTCAAGTTGCATGGCAAAAAAGAATCAATTAGTTTGATAGTTGTTCAGGTGTGTGCCTGTACCCATACCAGTTTAGTTTAAATTGGCCTAAGAAAGCAGTCGTGAATAATCACAGTAATTATATTTGCATAGTAGTTCAGTGCCTTGATACTTTGTCATTTAAATACAGTACTAGTACAGTATTTGCAAATTATTATTAGAAAAATGCAAAATTTGTTACTACAATAATGGTTATGAAATAGAATTTTCCTTACTGAGCTGTTTATTTAAATTTTTTAAAATACAGTAAATGTTTGCAAGTGATTGCACTATTACATGGTAAAAAGAAAATTTCATCATAATGGATAAATTTCCAATGAACTTGCAAAGCTGATGCCACACTATGAAACTTTGATACCTATGAATGCGGCTCATGACCTCTGCCTATCGAGGAATCTGGACCTCCCCCACAGAAAAAGACAGATGTAATTTGTCCACAAGTGGACGAATGTGAACAACCACATTCAGTAGTCGGCAACTATAGATCAGTGTCCCTTTCATTTATTGGTTATATCTCAAGATAATCTTGACGAATTGTATTTTTTTTTACATGCATTTGTTATTATGGTTGCCAATATGGTTTTAGGAAAGTTCTGCTGCTCAAGCTAAACCCCTTCCACTAAGTGGCACTGGACACTTGGGCGTTGTTACCGGACACCACCACCAAGATCAGCCGTGTTGTTGCGTTGGATATTGCAGGCATCTTTGATCGGGTATGGCACCTTTGTCTGCTTGCAAAGCTTCAAGCACTGGATCCATATCAGACTCCATCTTCAAGTATGAGCTCATAGTGAAAGCCACTTAATTGGTTCCAGTGTACCATAGATCAGCATACTTCCGTTGATGTAATTACTCTACAACAAATCTTTTCTCATTCCTTTCTAGCCTATGCGGATAAATGCACTTGAACTTTTACCTATAGAGTAAAAAGAGAGGAATTTTTTTATTGCTACAAGGTATAATAAATCACAAACTTGCATAAATTTCTTCCTGGGGAAAGGCCATGGTAGGTTACACTTCTAAGAGAAAATACAGGCAATTATCATAACTAAAATGCAAGACGTTGAAACGGGGGAAAAATATAGGGTGCTTACGACGAAGCCAACATCTTGGGGACTAAGTTTGATTCGTTAATAATCATGAGGAGCCAAGCAAGCAAGGCAACCAAGAAACTTTCAGCCCCAGGTGCATTTCATATATTCAACAGCATGGGTTGTGATTCATGCAAGATTGCTTGCATCTACAATATGGACCCCAGTCTTGGATGACCTGCCCCCAGCATTCATACAGGAAGACTTCTCTAGTCTTGATTTGTCAGTACAACTGAGCCTTTGACACCAGATGCTGTATATATGGGTGGCCTTAACATTACATACAAGGCCTATATTCTCAAGACTCTCCACCCGGCCCAACTTTGCAGACAACCACATCATAAGGTTCTCAAACCACAAACAGCCTCATGCCGGCTGTACCATTTTCGAAATCACTTGCTCATTTGCCGATGGAGTGATGTTCACTCCCTTCATCCCTAGACTGACTCATTTTAAACATCTTTGATAACAGTTATGCATGAGATTAAATCAAAACTGAATATATAGAGACTCGGCACATAGTTGGTTCCAACTTCATCCTGTTAACATGATTGCAACTTGGCACTAAAAAACTGTTTAATCCAAATGAAAATAATTAGTTCATCAAAAAGAGTAACTAGGGGTCAAGCTTCAAATGAACTGGATAATAGCTCTTAGCTTGCCATTTCATTAAGAAAAGCAATGACATTCCTAATGAACCTTATTAACTTAATATGTTATGTAAATAAAAGGGGGTAAAATGTAGGGCTTTGCCACTCCAGTGGTGAGCATTATAATGACAATTATAGCACATGGATGAGACAAGCACACGGTGTGCTGAAAACCATGCACAACAGACAATAGTTATCTCTGAAAGCTTATTTTAGGTGTCATTAAGGCCATAGTGAGAAAATTAGTTACCAGCATTTTGTAAACTCAAGTCAATTATTATACAGTAAATACAGCCAAACAATTGCCACCAGATATCATCTGAAGGAAACCATTACTGCACATATAACATGGTAATTTAAATATTCGTCTACTATTATTTCTCCTATGTTTGACATGCATAGCAGGTTGATTTCAAATAGGTGATATTTTCCTTCCTTTGAAGGAGACATGCAAATAAGACACCAACTGCAAAGCTTAATTTTATTGCTAAAGACATATAGATCGCCCTGAAAATTTAGAAGATTCCCAAAGTAAACATTTAGCTGGTTGGGAGTATTTCCTAAAAAAATAATAATAATGCTGGAACCCAATACACACCAGGAATATGCTAATAGTCTAGAGTTCCTATTCCTCTTGACTTCTCCGAACACAACGAGCTACTTTCTTCTTAAAGATATTGTAATCTTCACGCCAGTCTTTCTGTAATTTGGAAAATATAGGCAATCAAAATTTTGATATTTATTATGGGGTAACATTAATATGATACCTCAATTACATAGCACAGTACAAAATTGTCATATTTGAATGGTTTGGAGAATGAAGTCACATGGCCAGGAAAAACGGTACAGCAAAAGTTACCTCAATTCCCTTTAACCCCTGCACTGCGCATCTGTTTTTGGAAAAAACTTCCTTGTGCAATTGTTAAGCACATTTTTGTTGTTTTTATAAGTGGTCAGGAAAAGTTAATGTCAAAATGTTTCCAAACTCAACTATTTTCATTTCAAAACACAAAGTGATGAAAACATTAAAAAACATTAAAATATAGCTTAAGTAAAAATAAACTCAACTCTCAAAACAACATTTGTTGTTTGGCGCAGTGCAGTGGTTAAAAAAAAAAGCTAGTGTAGAAATGTGAATTACCTTAAAACACAGCACAGTCCATCAAAGACTGTGATACTTTACATTATGAAGAACAAAGTAGGTAACCTTACAACAAATGTAAGGTTATAAATTTCTTATAAAATTTAATTTTTATTGTACTATTAATCTTTCCATTGCAAGAGTCGTACAAAGACAGCCTCGGCATATGTGACCAACCTGTACCAGTCACCTAGGGATGATTGAAGATGCCATGCAAGATTTAAAACACCTACAAGTACACTGGGCTCATCAGTATCTCAGGCCTCCAATAAACAGATGCCTTTTTTTTTTAAACTGTAAACACTGTTCTTGAATGTGAAGGCCTTGATACCAAGTAGGTAACCAAGGGTAGTGAATGCAGCATGAGCTAACAGCAGTTGTTCAGTTTGTGTTCACAGCATAAAAAAAAAAAAAAATTATTATTATTTTGCAATGACTGAATCATAGACGATCTTGAATGTGATAAAGACTGTACAATGTTCAAATATCGGTGAACACAATGATTATGATGCTCACAGCACAATGCAGACAGCCACTGTTTGGTGCATCTAAGTATCTATAAACGACAGCTCATTTTCCTTTAAAAAACAAACTTGTGGAAAATTATTAATTTTCAGCATTTAGTGACCAGGATTCTGATCGTAGCAACATTGTCCTATTTTTCTCATCTTATCTATTTCACTAGTTATTGCCTCATCTCTCTGTTCCCTTTATATAATTTCCTACACATAATTTCTCAGCTCCACTGACTTTCACTTCCTATCTCCCATATCTAATCTAGACGTGTGTATCCTCTTCCTGTTCTTATACAATTGTTTCCCCATCAAGTTCTAAGGTCTTGTCTTCCATGCATACTAGCCTAACCACTCAGATTTCTTTACCCTTCTATGATATTCAGAAGTGTTCTTACTTTCTCTAGTGATCTAACACTAGTTTCCATCTGTTCCTCCACATTTCTTTTTCTGCTCCTTCTCAAACTTCATTTTGTTGTTTACATACTTCCATACTAGCCTCCCCATCCATATTTTCTGTCAAGGCCCATCTGGTATGTCTCCCTCCTTCCTACTAATAATCTCCTTGGAATCTGGATGAGTAGTTAGTTCTCACCTTTTCTCCTCTTACCTTAACATTGATATCTCCAGTCTGCTATATCCTAAGTCTGTGCATCAATAATTTCAAGGCTCTACCAAGTACAACCTCTTACCTCACACGACAACTAGGAAAGTGGCAAGATTACTTGTGCATATTTTCTATTTGTATTGCAGGAAGAGATTCAATCTCAATGTCACCCTTGCAAGTTTTTTTTTTGTTAAGTTTAAAACTTCCAGTAGTGTTAGCATGCAATCTTGACAAATTTATTACAACTACAGTATATTAATTGTCAAATTGTGTTATTCTTTATAACCATTTGTTTGTTAGATTGAAACTATGATCACAAGAATGCTTATTTCTAGTTTAAAAAATGATTCTCAATGTTTTTTTTTTTTTTTGCATTTTATCACCTCTTAAAATTTTGATTTGTCTCGAGGCTTTTAATCTTTCTTAACCGTTCATATTTCTTAATACTGAATATGGATTATTGGTATGGATTTTTGAAGAATCCATTTTTATGCATGCGCTTGGCACTATACCATGGCTGCATACTCCAAAACCTCAAATAATGAAGGTCTGAAAAAGGAGGGGAAAAAAATGTGAACATCACTCCAGATAAAGAAAGCAGCAGAATTAGGGGATCAAGCAAAAGCTGGTGGCAGATAAAGGAATAAATGCAAAAGTATTGCATGCAGGATGAGTGCCTTGCTCATCCTATAAATGTTAAAATTTATAGTCAAAAAGTTTTTTGTCAAAACATCAAAATGTTTGGCTACATAGCAGGGCCAAACTGATCATAATACATAGCAATGGCCAAGGAAAACACATGTTTGAGTGTTATGGTGCCATGTTTACCCATTGAGGAGGAGGGTAAAAGGTGCAGTTGTAACAACTAAAGATGGAGTCACTACAATCACCAGTGGGGGCCTGAAGTTTAACCTTGTCAAGAAAGTGGGATGAGAAAGGAGAGAAGTGTTTGGGATAGCCAAAGATGAAGCCTGGTCTGGGCCCAACATAGCTGGAGCTATGGAGCCTGAAATTATGCCACTGTCCGACTAGTTCTAGAGGTGAACTACCACATCCTGGTAGTTCACCTCATGAGCTTCCATTAGAGAAGTTGTTTTAGTTAGTATATATAATATTTTCAAAAGTTTGGACTCCAGAGCAGAGGACTACCACCTACCTTGGCAGCAAGGAAAGCCTAACACTAGCTGGTGCAGAAAAAGGCGCATTATCCCAAGCAGTGCTCCCCTTTTTTAACAGTGTAGTCCAACTGCACTGAACATTCTCCAACACCAGTGCAGAGACATCTTTCTCCTCCTTACCCCAGCCCAGACAACCAACCTCCAAGAGTAGGTTTCCACCCCCCCCTTCCTAACTGGCGACCCATCCAGCGGATGGTCAGATACTGGAATGGGTACTCTACACTGATCTCATTCGCATGCTCAATGTCTGGAGAGGAAGTCAAGGCAACCCCTACTAGCCCCAGGAAGTTGTACATTAGCCCCCCCCCCCCTTCACTAAAAAGGGAGACATTTGAGGGGAGAGGATAGTTTTGCATTAATGATATTAAGACATTTTTAACATGTCAAATTCTGGAAACTTTCAAGCTAACTCTTATCACAAAACTTCCTGGTCCAGTCATTGAAATCTTGCATACTGTTAATGTTTCTGAACATAGGCATCATTAAATACATAGTGATGCACATGAAATGGTGCACATTTTCTTAATAATGCCTAGAAGATGGCTAAGGCTGTCAGGATTTTTTCCCAATATGGCAAACATTTGCCAGGGGTCTAATATCAAATGACAACCACAGAATATTTAGAAACTTTGATCAAGAAGCACATTAAATAATTTACAAACAGGAGCAGCTTAAGTGGTTAAGACACAGAATGAGACGGTTTAATCCTGTCATGCATCTTACAGACGAAATCATACAATTTTGTTTACACTACTCTAATCTAAATGGCAAATCAATATTTAAAAAAAATAAAATTATTGACTCTTTCTGTTAAGTCCAATTAATTGTGTAATCTTTCCACTTTCTGCATCAATTTGCAAGGTAAACTCTTCCTAATAACACAGGGTCACTATTACCAATTAAAGTACTATACAGGGATCCTAAATTCTAGATTTCTTCCAATGTCCTACTAAATACCATGTGTAAAATTCCTAGTGTATCACATGCATGCAAGAGTGAGAGCGAGCGCGAGTGTGAGAGAGTGAGCGAGTGAGCAGATAAATAACAGACTGACCAATAAACAGAAGCGTACATACAAATGTGCCATGGTAATAGCAAAGAAATGAGGAAGCATTTCTGGCTTATTAAGTCTTATGTTTCAAGACTTGCAGAGGCACAATTTTTTTAAGTAAAAAGGCACAAGGCATATAGACAAGGGAAAACTTTAATTAGTTTAAATTTGAATTGTCTTACTTTAAGTAGCTGCTAGTAAATAATTTAACTATAACATTTCCCCTGAAAGCACCTGTCAAATATACAGAATATAAAAAGGGGCACCATATGAATAGAAAAGGAGAATCAGATAGTGTAAGAAGAAAATCACTTTAAACATGAACAGCAATTCATACCGCTGCATCGACATTTGCTGGACTTTCATCATTAGGGTCTGCTAGCATACTGATGACTGAGATAAGGATGGTCTCGACTGTATGCACGGGAAGCCAGCGTTCTGAGGCCTTTTCATAACCCCATTTGTCATCCCCTGGTTCGTGGAGGATTGAGATACACACATCTCCATTCTTCTCAACTGTAATTTGGGGAATGAATTAAGTTTCTGGTAACACTAGAGCAGACAATAGTATAAAGTGCAGATGGTATGAAGTAGGCATACTACATGCATATACCTTTTGACCATATTGTCAAAAGATTAGCAGATGCAGTTTAATACTGACAAATGTAAGGTTTTGAGGCTAGGTGATAATGATAGTTACTAGATACGAGCTAGATGGTGTTGAATGCGCAAAGTCGGATTGCAAAAGGGATCCGAGAGTTATGATTAGAGAGAATTTAAAACCAAAAAAATAAATGCATAAATGTTCGTAATAAGGCAACTAGGACACTGGGATTTATTTCTCAAAGCGTTAGTAATAAAACACCTGGTGTTATTCTTCAGCTTTATCTTGCTCTTATTAGGCCCCATTTAGATTATGCAGTTCAGTTTTGGTCGCCGTACTATAGAATGGATATAAATTCACTAGAATGTGTCCAGTGTAGGATGACAGTTAATCCCGCAAATTAGAAACCTGTCACATGAAGAAATAATGACAAAGCTTAATTTACATTCGCTAGAAAGGCAAAGAATTAAGGAGTGACATAAGATGTGTACAAGTGAATAAATGGGCAAAACAAAGGGGGATATTAATAAGGTAATAAAAGCATCAACACAAAATAGAACATGAAACAATGGGTATAAACTGGATAAGTTTAGATTTAGGAAAGACCTGGGTAAATACTTGTTCGGTAACAGGGTTGTTGATTTGTGGAACCAATTACCGAGTAGCACAATAGACGTAAGATCCCTTGATTGTTTCAGGTGTAGGTTAGACATGTATATTAATGAGACTGAGTGGATATAAATAGGAGCTGCCTTGTATGGCCCAATAGGCCTTTTGCATTTACCTTCATTCTTATGTTCTTAAGGTAAAGTCTAGTGGAGACTTTCCTACTGAATTGAAAAGGCAATTGCAATATGCAATTTTGTAGAATTTTATTGCAAGCAGATTACAGTATATGGTTCTAGCCGTGACATGTGAATAAGCAACATTTTCTTCGTGTGGTAAGACTTGACTCAACTAAGTTATTATTCTCATACATAGATCCCTAAGCTAATGTAGTTTCTGCAAGAAGTTGGTAATCCAAATTCCAGTAATTTCAAAGTTCTTGTCTTTTTAACTAAAAATTTGGGTTAAAAGTTTATTTTCACTTTTTTTTTTTTGGGTGTGCACATGGAAAATATGAATTACACTGGTTGTAATACAAAATGTTTTGAACTAGTTCATTCTGAACATTCCTGACAAGAGATTTGGCTAATATGAATGGGAGGGGGTATTACTAAACATGATTCAGATTACTGAATGTAGATACAGGTAGTATGTTTATTTCAGTTATTACCAATGATAAATATGAATATAACACATACATATGAATGTTTTGGAGTTAACCAAGAGCCATGACAACTAATGTTTTAATTTCTAGATGACATTCCCGAACATAACAGCAGCAAAGAAGTGGGTTGCAACAAGGGTTGGTATAAAACTTGGTATTTTTTTTTAAATCCAACCTGGGTGGGTTGAAATTTTATCTATTTAATTAATAGATAAAAAAGTTTTATAAATACCTCCCAGGGGTTTTAAATTAAAAATCCTGACCAGGGTGGGTAAGTGGGTAGTTACCACACCAACCCCGAGGCCTGGTCGAGGATTGGGCCTTGGGGGACATTGAGCCTCGAAATCATCGCAAGTCAAGGTAACCATGGTTGCAACACTTTCTTTGAGCTATGCCACTAGCAGATTAACGTACAATATAGGTGCAGGCATTACAGTGTAAGCCTATATGTAGTACTCTTAATCACTGTCAGCTATGTGAAAAAGTGAACATATGAACTGCATAACAATAATACTCACTCCTACATGATGAGTCAGAAAACTATGCCAATTGGTCTATGGACCCAATGACTTGCCAGAAAAGAGATTTTCTTTCTATCGACTTAAGAATGGTCCAGGACGGACCGAAATGTCGTCGTCCCTTCACCTTCTAGTGTGTGGTCTGGTCAACATACATTAGCCACGTTATTGTGACTCATCGTCTGCACAAGCACCATTGATGATAGATGCACGTTAAGGTTAAAAGCAAGGTTGGCATAGTAGCTATCCACTTGGACCTAACATTGAACGTGGACAGAAGTCAACTTATGTTGGTAGAGAGATTAAAATTATGACTGAATTTAATATTAACAGAACTACTAGAAGCTGAGCATAGACCAAGCCAGCAAAGAAAAGCAAGCCACACATTGAAAGCCCTGATTAGTAAAAGCATCACACTGTACAAGCAGAGATGCTATAGAGAACCTCCACTTGTACAGTTACTTCGATGCACACCTTAGTTGCTTTTACAACTTTTTAGCCTTACCTTCTATTGCCTATAGCCTGTTGTGTAACTTAAACATTCTCTTCCCTACAGCAGTTACTTAAATGCCCACTACTTATTAATGGTTTATATATGATGTTTTCACATTTCAGATAATTTTTCAGGCCCTACAGAGCCTTCATTATCTTTTCCTAGACATCTTTAACCAATGACTAAACCCCTTTCTCTAGCCCATGTATCTCCATTTTGCATAATTTTCCCTTCACTTCCACATCTTCATATAATGCTGAATGGCCCATTCTCAATTCTTCAAAATTCTCTGAGCTTGGCTATGTTGCTGTAATTTTTCTGGGCTTTCTTTTTCTCTTTCAAGTATCTCCCAAGAGACACTTTTGAGACTGTTTAACCATGATTCTTCCAAGTACACAATTTCTATATTTTACATTTTGTCACCACTATCTTTCACATCTCTTTCCTTACCTACTTTATCTGACTCTAGTTTACTCCTTATATTCTCTGACCAATAGCTGGCAATAGCTCCTTTTTTGTTGCTCAGCTATCTTTTGTCCTTCCAAGCAATTTGTTGAACTCTGGATGTACTAGTCTTGTTTTCCTTCTTTTTCAGTGCAATTTGTATTATTTTATTAAAAATTATCAAAATCCTGTGCTGTTTATTTTTGCTTTTCTAAATATAATATTTTTGTGTATCACTGCAAGGAAGTGTTGGAGGTGGTGCAGATAGAGGGAGGTTAGTGGGCAATGTATATAGAAGGTTGAAAGTAAATAGGAATAATAATATTTGTTTTGAATGTAGATGACATTCCTAGTGTGACGTCTCTATGTACAACATGGTAAAGATTAATGATCACAGATTAGTGTCTTTTTGTGCTCGTGTATGTGATATTATGTAGTATAAATGACAGGCAGGCAAGGACAGAGGTAGAGGCAGGGACAGGCAGGCATAGACAGGATAAAGCATTCACCTTCCCCTGCCAACATGTCAGATGGATGAAATGTTATTTACACATTGCTTTGGTGAGCAATTTGTGTAGCGAGGCCAGAACATTACTGACCACTTATAATTCCCTGGGCTGTCTAAAAGGAGATAAGAGTATCTGAAGTGGGTTTTGGGAGTGGTAGTTCTTTCTCCACAAAGTCAGTGTGGAGCTAGTTTCAATCAGGGCTTTCAGTAGATACAGTGTGGTATTGTAGTCAAGAGTTTGCCTGCCACAATATGGGATGGACATTTGGCCCCCCCCAATGGCGCATAAAAATATACAACATTTATGAATGTACGAGTAAATTTTAAATTGTAAGAGAAAGGTCTATACTGTCAGTCTGCCTAAAGTTGGAGGCTAGATGCCTGGGGTTAGCCTCACTCAACTTCGCAGGGGAAATGGTCTGGAGTACAGGACAAACAGGCTGGTTGGAGTTGGTGTAAGGTAAGTGCTTTAAAAAATATTAATAATTATTGAGATCTCCATGCAGTTTTCATGGAGTAGAATGAAATATTTGTTGTGATCATCTCCCCCCCCCAGTCCCCCAAGATTTGGGGGACTGGGGGGGGGAATGCCTGTCAGTTTGAGGTTGGAAAGGTGAGGGGAGGGGAAGGGAGAGACAATATTCAGATGAGAGGGATGATGGGGGATATAGGGAGAGGATATTAGATAGTGTCGAGATAGTGTACACACACATCTATCTATAGTTTAATTCACCTTAGGCTCTAGGAGCCTCCAAACACCTGATCTCCATCCCCATAGCAAGTCTATCTATATTATGTTAGGGTATAGTACAGTATAATATAGCAAGATGCTTGCTCTTAATTTCTCTACATCATGCACCTTGAAATTTTTTGTCAACATATGAAAGTATTTGTTTCATTTTTTGTGGATACTGAAGCATAACATGATATAAATAAATAACTTGTTTTACACCTCCCCCCCTAAATTTCTATCGATCAAGGAATTAGTTAAAAAATAAAAATTAACTTAATTTCTGAATTGTTCAACCCAGAGGTCTGCTTACCCTCCTGGGAAATGATGCCTTAATAACATGAGAATATAGCCTCCCACCTTTGTAAGCTGCTAGAATACTCTCATGATGCCACGTTGAATACCAAATTTAATGATCCTTGCATACTCCTAATGAGAATTTATCATAACGTCAAATCATAACAAATGCTCCAAGTAGTCTCACATACTGAAGTATGACAAATTTTGTAGTATAAAATCAGCTTTCAAAATGAAAATTAAGACTAGAAAAAAAAAAAAAGGGATAGAGTACTAGCATAAACACTTCAACACTCACAGCTGCAAGTTACAAAATTAACTTACTGTTTGGATGCCAAATATCTGTAATGAACTTCATTTTGGGTGGCCGAAGAGGATATTCTCGTGGAAATATTAGATGCGCCTTAAAAAAACCTCCTTCACTGCAAGAAGAAAAAAATAATAAAATAAATAAAAACAATCACTGCTCAGTAAAGGTAATTTTTCCATGTAAATCCTTTGCTTTCTCTATGAATAACCATCCTGCCATATATTTATTTTGCATCATATTGCCTGCATATATATAATCAACACTGCAATATTCCTTTATTTCAGTCCAACTTGCAAGTGTATGATACAGTTCAGAGTGCCATGTGCTGTGTCTCGAACAACTGGCTGTTAAGATGTGTTTCTTGCCATGGTGAATAGGCCTAAGTTGAATTGTAGATTGGTGTCTATACTATATATACTGAACAACCAAGATGACATCATACAACTATGTACATATAGTCCAGTACATCATTACTGTACCCCACCCCTCCATTTCCCATTTCCATGGGGTTGGGGTGCATGACCGAGGAAAAAAGTGCAAGCAGTAACATAGTAAAAGGTAATACAATTTGTAATATAACTCATCCATTATACTATTCATAATATATACCATACAGAAAATGAACACCAATTCATTCAAGCAGTCATTCGCAAACAGCACCCCACTGCTTTATGTTCTTTTAACAAAACTGACACTTGCAGGAACTCTCATTTATAAAACTAACTAGAAGTACAACAAGCAGAAACAGAACACTAATATAATACAATGAAAAATTCCTTACTAAAGCGTGTCAGGTGGGCCAATAATAAGAACTTCCCATTTGAAGATGTCGTTGTCATCAATTAGTCCTGCAGAGAAGCCCTCCACTGGATTCTTATTTAACTCTGGGGAAAAAGAAAATAAACATTTATGGAGCACTGACCAAGATAAATGATAATTCTAAAAGAGAAAAAAACTCAATTACCAGAAAATGTTATCAATTATAACTACCGTATCATTAATGACCAGATTTACTTCAGTATCGAAAGTCTTACAACAGAATGGGCAAATAAGTTAAATTCTCAACTTTTTTCAGGGTAAAAGGGCAAGAAATGCAGGGGGAAAGGACAAGATGAGAGGATGACAAATGTAGGGGGGGGGGGAGAAAATGAACGAGTGAGGGGAATGGCAGAAAAGGTGGGTAAAAAATGCAAGCTGGGGAAGAGGGGGTATAGAGAAAAAATGCAGGGGGGGGGCAGAAAGGTGGTCAAAAAATGCAGGGGGGGGGGGCAGAAAGGTGGTCAAAAATGCAGGGGTGGGGGAGGGGGGGGAAGAGGGGGCAAAACGCAGAGTGAAAGACATTAATTTCTATCTTATAAAATGTTAAGAATGGGGAACAACTGGTTCACAGCCAATGATGTGCTCAAAGCAGAATTGTAGTTTATTTACCATTACTGTGAACTGCGATACCAATTCTATAGTACAGTACTGTAATTTATGAAATGTAGTTTCTAAATCAACAATTGTCTATATTTAAATTTTTTCCTGCTCCGTAATTCTGTAGCTCCATTTAAATAATTTGTTTCCACAAACCTGGAGATTTTACTTACCATTATCTCAAAAACTCCATTGTTAATGCAACTGTTCTAGACCTATTTTTTGTTGCCATACCCTTTCCTATCTTCCTTTTGGTGTGGGGCCATTTGCCACCATTATCTTACCAGTAAGCTTTTTCTACACATTAGAGCACATTGTTGGCAATACCAGTACTGTACATGGTATTTCTTTATCAAATATGGATAACCTGAAATTAAGCCTACAAAAGTAGAGCATGGGCTTATGAATTTGTATCGCAAAATCTGTAAAGTTTGAGTTAATATTTGATACTGGGTAGCTAAACCCAAGATTAAATACAATTCTTTCAAGATTTCACTTATTTTTATCATCTTCTGCAACTGACGACAGTATTGGTTCCAAGCCACAGCACCGTACCGACTGCACAGAAGGTCCAGCAGTACTAGTATTAAAAAGTACTGACAAATCAATATGCTCACAAATATCTCGGTCAAATATTGCAGTAACTCATATTGCATGCGATTATCATGGTAATATACAGAAACATTGGCTAGTCATTGCAGTAACTCACACTGCATGTGATTATCATGGTAATATACAGAAACATTGGCTAGTCATTGCAGTAACTCACACTGCATGTGATCATCATGGTAATGTGCAGAAACATTGGCTAGTCATTGCAGTAACTCACACTGCATGTGATTATCATGGTAATATACAGAAACATTGGCTAGTCATTGCAGTAACTCACACTGCATGTGATTATCATGGTAATATACAGAAACATTGGCTAGTCATTGCAGTAACTCACACTGCATGTGATTATCATGGTAATATACAGAAACATTGGCTAGTCATTGCAGTAACTCACACTGCATGTGATTATCATGGTAATATACAGAAACATTGGCTAGTCATTGCAGTAACTCATACTGCATGTGATCATCATGGTAATGTGCAGAAACATTGGCTAGTCATTGCAGTAACTCATACTGCATGCGATTATCATGGTAATGTACCAACACCTAGATAATTTTTTAATCTAAACTATATAAGACAGTAGTGTTCTATAAATTACGTAACACGCCTGGGTATTTGTCTTGTCACTTATTAAAAGGCACCAGATACACGCCAAGTACCAGGGTGGTTGAGGGGGGAGTTACCGACTTACACACCCGGGTGGCATTTTTAGTTTATTAAACCAAGGTGGGTCTATATAAAAAAAATAAAAAATCCTGAATATACAGCAACTTAGTTATTTGTATTTAAACTTAAACTTGCATTTAGTAATCAATTGATTAAATGGATAAAAGTCTAGCTCAGGTGGGTTGGATTTAAAGAGAAAACCTGGGTTATTTACCAACCTTCTATCAGCTGCATAAAGTTCTGACAAAAGTTAACAATTACTGTATGTAAACTTGCTAATCAACCCTGAACCAGGTATTGTACCCTCAATATTTGGGTCATCAATTCTTTGCAAGATCAATGTAAATATTTTATTTGAAAATAAAAGCAAAACCAAAATTAGACTCCTCCATTTACACCTATAAATTATATTTCTGTGTACATATGCACACTTCAGAGGAATGTGTGATTGGTTCACACAATATATTATCAAGCAAAACTACATATGGAATATTGCATATTCAAGATGGCCACCTCCTAAGGCACTTATAAAGATAACACAGTATTCACGTGAAGCCAAATATAGGAACATACAGCTTATGATATATTAAAGGTGCAAATTTCTTTTCTGTATGGTTTCAAAAATATATTGTCAATTTTAAAAAAGGTGAAAATGTCATTAATTGTTAACTGCAAATGCAAATTAACTGATAAATCCTGAAAACTAGGCATTTTATATACATGTTATCTTAGCAGTTGGATGGGTCTCAATATTAAAGAAAAATCTATTCAATAATTGATTTTTGTTTACAGTAGCAGAGATATTACACAAAAATAAGAAATCAATGTCTGCTCAAACCTCACCCAGTTTGGATAAAAATATTTTTTGCATTTCTAGCTTTAAATCTAGAAAGAGCCTATGCAAGTACAAATGGCCAAGCCAGTATTTTTTTTAATACAGTACTTTTGATTTGGATTTAGTATTGATTGGATTTTTTTAAGTTTTCAGCCAGAAATGTGAAAAAAATAAAATGCAGGAAAAACTTTCGTCACAAATTAATGACAATTTCACCAATGGGCTTTTGTACAAAATGGGAGCAATGTTTGGTGCCTACAGAGCAAGAGAATACAGGTTAAAATAAATCCACACAGTCTAGTAGATCCAATGTGCTGGAAATTAATAATAATAAAAAAAAATCATAAATAAAAGATGCAGTCTCTCACTGATGACCCATGTAATTAATCATGATGCAGCCAGGGCAGCTTTAAGAAATGCACCTTCATTTCTTCCAAACCCAGAAATATAACAAAATCTGACGGTAAATAATAGATCACATCAATCGGTAGACCACACATGACCCTGAGAAGCTCTGGTCATGTTTTCTGAGAAAAAGACACGGATCACATTTACCTCTGAAAGGAAATTAACATGGCGATTTTCTCACCTAGCTTTCCCCTACCCGGTCACTACTCCTGCCATCAAATGGGCCCAAAGGTGATATAGACCGGTCATGAATATTACAGGAGGTACAACCATGCTTTGTCCCCCCCCCCCTCTCTCTCTCTCTCTCCTGTACCCAGCACACGCAAACCATCGTCTGCGTGAAGGACATTTCCCAATTATAAACCCCTCAAAACTACACTCTCTCCGAGGGCAAGCTTGCAGAACACCCGGCCAGACACCTGCGACCTTTACCTGCCAGCTGTTTCCGAAGTAGCAAGGCGCTCTGTGGTTCCCCCATTGTCGGCAATTTAGGCTAAAAGAGTAGAGCCAGTGTGGGTGGTGTGTGTGTATTATCACTGAGGCTGGCAGCACACCCGCGCATGCGCAGGTAACCCGCAGTCACGCCGCACTCACTCATACATACACACACACACATGAATTTCAAAATAATTATATCTCTCTAATATATATACACATATATATATGTATATAAGTCGTCGTTGGTATACACCAAAGAAGTTAGATTTGGGAAATTTGCGGCATGGGAAGGATATTTTCTAGGTGTTCTCAGGGCTCGATTATAATATTTAGCTTGGTGGGTTCAGATATACTTGTGGATTATTAAAGCTAATTATTATTGCATAATAGGTGACATAAAGGCTTGATTTTCATTTATAACATCGTGTTTGGCGAACAACTTAAAGATAATAAGTTTTATAACATGTGAGAGACGCACAAATTCGCAAGGTAATCATGCCCTGGGCTCGTCCGGTTAAACTCCATTAGAGGGAAATTATCGAAGAAAACTATTATACTAAATATAAATATGAAATTACAGTGCATTAAACACCCTGAAAATAGCGTGAATTTATGTGTATATAATATTTAGGGCGTGAGTGAGGGTGCGCAAAGTGAGCGTCACTTGGCAGACGTTGTTTACGATTATGGCGGCGAGTCCCCGCCAAGTGTGTTCTCATTAGTTAATCACATTACTCACTTGTTTACCAAGAGATTAAACCCGCCATAAACCCTGGAATTTACTAAGTGGCGCACCCTTTGGCACCTGAGCGTCAGCAGCGATACATAACAAGAGATTAAGGGAGGATTCGCGACAGCAACTTGTTTGGCGCCACTCGCGCTGCCCGCGGGACGTGTGACATCCTCCTCGGTCTGGGAAACCGTTCAAAATGCCCAAGAACGACGTATTCAAACCCGGGGATGCCGTGTTCGCCAAGGTCAAAGGTTACCCGCACTGGCCGGCCAGGGTGAGTGAGGCGCGGGCGGTGTGGGCGTACGGGTAGTTTAGAGGTGGTGTAAATGTAGGCGGTGTAGCCAGGCCTCCCGGCCTAGACTCGCCCTCCTGTCGTGTGCGTGCACAGCCTGTCTGTAGGTGTCTGTCGGGGCGCGCACACACACAAACACTCCTAACTTTTCCTTATTCATTCTCATTTGAATATTTTGGAGCAAATTTGATAGGCAAGTCCTGATAAAGGAAAACAAAGAGGGAAATTCAGGCCATAGTAACTTCCTAAGGAACCTCAGTGTCTGCTAGAGATGCTGTAATTCACTATTGTCTCAAACTGCAGCATTTCTGATTTTAAATTATATACTAAAAGTATTGAAGTGCAGCTTCTATCAAATTTTATGTGAGGTCTTGGAAACATCTTATTTGAGTAAAGTCTATGGTATCTGGCCTCCTAAGTTGTTTGATTTCAGATTTGATTTAAAATCATAAATACCTCTACAGAAACACTTATATCAAGGAGAAATGTTTATAAAATGACACTGTAATTTTCTTCTTATAGCCAAAATATGTAGGTGGCTGGATATATAACACTGCAAATTGTCTGGTTATCTGGTGTGGGTATCTGTATGCCAAGCCATACAAACATTTATTAGAAAATTCTGCAAGTATTATGTGTATATTATGGTCTGTACTGTATTTGGGTTAAGTTCCCTATATAATTCAGTTGCCTGTATGATATAGTTGCCTACATATCTCTGGCCTCTTAAAAAATGATTGATGTTCACAGTTGACTAAAAATGGTTCTGTTAGATTCAGTGCAATACTTATGACTCAAAAGTGTCAAGATTTTTATATAAAATGACATTTGAATGGGCACTACAGGTATTAACTCTTTTTAAAAGTGCAGCTACCATACAAAATTGTCACCCTGCCTACGGGTAAAAATAAGGCCAATTGTTTTATTTGTTTTTCTTTGTGTAATGATAGATTTGGCTTAAAAAATATACAAAAATATACTCAAAAAGTCCTGTAACTAAAGTATTTATTTTGGCCTAGTCAGTGGTCAACATTCCTTTTGACTTTAGCCAGTGTTATGGTGAGATAGGCGCCAAGGACAAACTTTGTTTTCTTAACTCATTTGAAATAAATTAAAAAGTAAGGGTCTGTATGCTAAAGTTAAAACAAAATACCAAAATATATACTGTTAAGATCTCTGTTGGTCTAGGTAAGTGCTACACTCATATTCTGGGAAACCAGGACTAGGGGGGCACTATGAGGAGAAAGTGCCAAGCCATTACGACTATAGCACTGGGAAGGGGTCAGGATAAGAATTTGGGATGGGACAGGGGGTGGGGGGAGGAGAAATGGGAAACCAGGAGCTGAAGTCCATTTCATTCCATAGTATTTGTGGCCTCTGATATCTACTGGGAGACTCCACTGACCTATTGGAACCATATGGGCAATATTGGTATTCTAACAGTGACACAAGACATAAGTCATGATAAAAGTATTACATAGGCAATCAACATGATGATAGTATTTTAACCCCTGCACTGCACACCTGATTTTGGCAAGAACTTCTTGGGGCAATTTTCAAGGACATATTCTTGTTGTTTTTATAAATATTCAGGTAAATTTAATGTCAAAATGTTTCCAAACTCAACTATTTACATTTATAAACACAAAGTGTAATGAAAACATTAAAATATAGCCTAATTAAAAAAAAATAGCACAACTCTCCGCCTAAAGGCGCTCTGCGCAGTGCAAGGGTTAAGGGTTTACCAGAAATGTGTTTCATTGCAAACCCCAGTCCAGACACCCTGTTGACAGTCTCCAAATGGCAACATGTATTATCTATTTGTTCAGAAATTCCATCAGTTCAGCATAAGCATGTATATAATGATCCATATTATTCGTCCCTTCATTTTCTTACTAGGGTATTGGGTAACATTCTTAAAATAACAAATATGATTCTCGGATGTTTGGTAACTAGCATTCAAGGGTATAGGTGACAGGGGTTCAGATATTCATTGTTCTGCCAGTTCATGTTTTGGGATCCAAGATCTGATAATATGATAGCAGAATGAGTCGGTACTCTTAAGTGGCATTATAGCCTATTCTAAGGCATGACATACAATTAGTGAAATGACAATTTTGTCTAATGCTTGCAGAGATTGAGCCTCAGCTATTCTCTCTCACCTCAATGTTCAGTCAACTCTTGTATGAATTCCTGCCTTTGGAGCTGTCACATCTACATTTAAATGTATAAAATGCTTCCACCACTTAGGTGATGTAATTATCTGGACTATTAACACTTGGAAGGGATATGAGGATAGAGATTTTGGATAAGAACACAATACTGTAGTTGGCTACATGGGTGCCAATGAAAAAGGTTGCACATTCTTAAAGTATGCCAAGTATTATCTAAGACAAGAATACATAATACAATATTAATACCTTGTAATACAATATTGGTTTACCAGTTGGTAAACTTTACATAAGTAAATTGATAAATCAATACATTAATGTATAATTAGGAATATCTTGGCTAAACAATGTTGGTATAGTATAACAAGACAAAGTGATGGTAGTGTTTGTAAGATGCTATATATAAATGGGGGTGAAGTTCATTTTGACTGTCTGGCAAAGTGGGTATGGGGACATGCGTGATCTATTGGGGAGTCTGTAATCATAAAAAGGTTTAAAATCCCTGGACATACAATATTTACCAAGCTTTTATTTGAAGGATTATATTCTTAATACAGTATTATATATGTATATTTCTAAAGTAGGGTGCCTTATGTTATAATATTGATACTTCTCTTCATACAAAAAAAACACAGATGAAGGCTGGAAAATTACAGTTCTGTATTTAGTTTCCATTCTCTCCTCAATGTCCTTTTGCAGTCTTGGCTGTAACAGGATATATCTTTTTTTTTACTTTTATGTGAAGCTGCACTTAGTATAACAGACATAATTTTTGGTGGAGTGGCTCTTGATGGCTTTTCGTCTTTTAGGTTGAGCAGTTTGAACCTGATCCAGCAGGAAAGCCTCTCAAAAAATATCCAGTGTTGTTTTATGGGACATATGAAACGTAAGTACAAGATCTCTGTACAGTAGTACATTTCTGATTATTGTATAATTGATGTTCACAGGTTTATTGAAAATTTTTACTTGCCTGACCTAATGTGTTGTATCTACAGCCTAATGTGAAAATTTATAATTGAATTTTAAAGTGATGTATCATATCACACAGCATGCTGAAGTTGGCTATTTGTCTATTTATCTTTAGATTTCCTCTGAGTAACATTTTTTTATTTATTGCAATGACTTTTTCTGTATTTTGTGTTAATATATATGTACAGTATTTCTTTTACATCTTGCTATATATAGAATCATATACGGTATTTGTATTTCAACTCAAGTTAGGTTGGTGCCACTTGCTTGTGCATGAGTGTAGTAGGTGCCACTTGCCTGCGCTCGAATGTAGTAGGTGCCACTTGCTTGCGCTTACGTATAGTAGGTGCCACTTGCTTGCGCTTGAGTGTAGTAGGTGCCACTTGCTTGAGTGTAGTAGGTGCCACTTGCTTGAGTGTAGTAGGTGCCACTTGCTTGAGTGTAGTAGGTGCCACTTGCTTGAGTGTAGTAGGTGCCACTTGCGCTTGAGTGTAGTAGGTGCCACTTGCTTGCGCTTGAGTATAGTAGGTGCCACTTGCTTGCGCTTGAGTGTAGTAGGTGCCACTTGCGCTTGAGTGTAGTAGGTGCCACTTGCTTGCGCTTGAGTGTAGTAGGTGCCACTTGCTTGCGCTTGAATGTAGTAAGTGCCACTTGCTTGAGTGTAGTAGGTGCCACTTGCTTGCGCTTGAGTGTAGTAGGTGCCACTTGCTTGCGCTTGAGTGTAGTAGGTGCCACTTGCTTGCGCTTGAGTGTAGTAGGTGCCACTTGCTTGCGCTTGAGTGTAGTAGGTGCCACTTGCTTGCGCTTGAGTGTAGTAGGTGCCACTTGCTTGCGCTTGAGTGTAGTAGGTGCCACTTGCTTGCGCTTGAGTGTAGTAGGTGCCACTTGCTTGCGCTTGAGTGTAGTAGGTGCCACTTGCTTGCGCTTGAGTGTAGTAGGTGCCACTTGCTTGCGCTTGAGTGTAGTAGGTGCCACTTGCTTGCGCTTGAGTGTAGTAGGTGCCACTTGCTTGCGCTTGAGTGTAGTAGGTGCCACTTGCTTGCGCTTGAGTGTAGTAGGTGCCACTTGCTTGCGCTTGAGTGTAGTAGGTGCCACTTGCTTGCGCTTGAGTGTAGTAGGTGCCACTTGCTTGCGCTTGAGTGTAGTAGGTGCCACTTGCTTGCGCTTGAGTGTAGTAGGTGCCACTTGCTTGCGCTTGAGTGTAGTAGGTGCCACTTGCTTGCGCTTGAGTGTAGTAGGTGCCACTTGCTTGCGCTTGAGTGTAGTAGGTGCCACTTGCTTGCGCTTGAGTGTAGTAGGTGCCACTTGCTTGCGCTCGAGTGGAGTAGGTGCCACTTGCTTGCGCTCGAGTGGAGTAGGTGCCACTTGCTTGCGCTCGAGTGGAGTAGGTGCCACTTGCTTGCGCTCGAGTGGAGTAGGTGCCACTTGCTTGCGCTCGAGTGTAGTAGGTGCCACTTGCTTGCGCTCGAGTGCAGTAGGTGCCACTTGCCTGCGGTCGAGTGCAGTAGGTGCCACTTGCCTGCGCTCGAGTGCAGTAGGTGCCACTTGCCTGCGCTCGAGTGCAGTAGGTGCCACTTGCCTGCGCTCGAGTGCAGTAGGTGCCACTTGCTTGCGCTCGAGTGCAGTAGGTGCCACTTGCCTGCGCTCGAGTGCAGTAGGTGCCACTTGCCTGCGCTCGAGTGCAGTAGGTGCCACTTGCCTGCGCTCGAGTGCAGTAGGTGCCACTTGCCTGCGCTCGAGTGCAGTAGGTGCCACTTGCCTGCGCTCGAGTGCAGTAGGTGCCACTTGCCTGCGCTCGAGTGCAGTAGGTGCCACTTGCCTGCGCTCGAGTGCAGTAATTGCCACTTGCCTGCGCTCGAGTGCAGTAGGTGCCACTTGCCTGCGCTCGAGTGCAGTAGGTGCCACTTGCCTGCGCTCGAGTGTAGCAGATGCCATTTGTCTGCGCTCGAGTGTAGTAGGTGCCACATGCTTGTCCTCAAATGTAGTAGGTGCCACTTGCTCATACTTGAGTGAAGTAAGTGCTAATCAAAATACAGTAGTGGTTTTAAAGTTTAATGGACAATAGATGTGGAATTAAATACATTTATTGGAAGAAATTCCGTAGTTCACATCTTGGAAGGATTTGGAGACAGACAAAGGATTTTTATAAAGTGAGGAAATAGCAAGACTTAACTTGTATATCAGATATTCATGATAAAGTTGACTCTTTGTAAAGTAATGCAGAATTAGAGCTAATGTGCCCCTTAAATATTATTCTGGTAAGGAATGGAGAGGTTGATCTGCATAAATTTGGAAAAACAACAATTTCACCAAAATATACTGTAATATTTATTCTCTAGTTGAAAGTGTTTTGAAGTAATCTCAAAGATTACTTTGGACAGTTGTGTACAGAATCATGTGTGTCGGAATTTGAATACGATTTTTGCATACTGTATTTGACTTGCAGAAAACACCTTTTAATTTAATGTTATGTTCCCAAATGTATCTGAACATTTGTATAGTACTTGCATTAAACAATTGAAATATTCCTGATAATTGTGTTGATATCATCTCGTACACGTTTCGCTCATGCATGTGGTAGTCCGACAAATAGCATATAGACAATAGAGCTGCGTTATTTTCGTGATGGTATTGGGGTGTTTTGGACAAGCTGCCAGAATTTGTGAAGAAAATTACACATAATTCACTTTTAAAACTGCCCTTGAATCATGCAGGGAGTTATGTTCCTATACAAAAAACATGTGAATTATATCTACAAGGGAAATAGGGATATACCAGTATTCCAGAAGCCTTTTAGTTTGCTGTTCCCATTTTTTAACACTAATAAAGTACTTATTTGAACATTAATGTTTATTGCTCCCTCCACTTTCCAGCCACAGTGCAGCACATAATGAAGTCCAGAATAGTTTGAACGTGCAATTATGCAAGAATATAATCCAAAAACTTTGTAAAACAATAATTTGGTGAGAAGTCCTTATGCCATTGGATAAAAAAATATTATCCATATTAGTTTTTTAATCTTAAGCAAATCTTGTGTTCCTTTCAAATTCACACATGTATTTCAAAACTTTGTACAGAAGTACTTGCCTATGTATCATCAAAGATTTTATTTTCCAAAACTATTCAAATTGAGGGTCATCTGTAATCAAAAGATGGAGCAATAAGTTGACTGTTTACCCTTGCCAACATATCAGAGGCGAACACATGAAGAGTGGTGACATAGCTACTAAAAACATTTATTGCACAATATTGGTATTATTGAAAATATTTAATAAACTACTGTTCTATAATTTCAGCTCAATAATTTTGGATATGAGTTTTTGTCATATGTTGAATTGATTTGTTTGATGTTCATACTTAATTTTAAGAAATTATGTTTATGACATTGTCAGGCAATGACTGACATGAGTGGTTATTATCTCTATTTCCATTGTTTGGTTAGTTAATTTCTTTTAGTTGCGCTCAAGTGCAAAAGGCTTCAAGCAGACTTTGATGCTATTACCATGAGAGCGTATATTAATTTGTGACTTGCCGACAGGCTTTCCATTAGACCAGATGGTGTGTGCGATTGTCACGTACAGCAGTTATACTGTAGTTGCAATGAAGCAGAATAGCCATTGGTGATTTTGCATTGCCGTATTTGCTGCTTCTTAGTCAGTATCAGATAATAGGGAATTTGGATGTGTATTTTGTAGTACTAATGTCTGCCTTTTATCAATCCTTGCACTTTATTTCAGGGCATCTCTGAAACCAGATGACATCTTTCCATACAAGGATAATCTTGAAAGATTTGGCAAACCCCAGAAGAGGAAAGGCTTTAATGAGGGACTCTGGCAGATCATTCATAATCCAAATTTTGATTCTAGCATTGTGAGTATAATCTCCTAATAATTATGTATCATGTGATTTCTTTTGATAGAGCAGGTTACAGTAAATTGATGCTCAAATTACTGGATGAGCATGGTGACTCCAGTGATAATTAGATATATCTCGATTATCTGAAGAATGCCTGTGTGCATTGGCTTGAAAATTTCAAGACTTATCAAAAGGAAGATATCTGTTATTGGGCCATTTATCCCTTTTGTTGGTAGATATCAAAAGTTTTTAAAAATCATTGAGATGGAAAGAGTAGTTCATGTGTGATGCCTTGAAAATAAATCAGTATAGCTGCTCTAAAAAAATTTCCACATGCCCTCCTTCCAGGAGGGCATGTGGAAAATTTTTATTGTGGGGTATAATCCTAGTAGGCTCTGCTGCAAAAAAAGAAAAAAAATATGTTAAGCCATTTATAGAGTTCTGAAATGACTAGAGAGGCAAATCACAAACTGTAAACGGCACTTGACGATGAATTTGGAACGATAAAACACTTGGGATTATGATAGCATTTATGTTTTAAAGACATGCTTTGTATATTTGACTATAATTTCTCTAAACTGACTGCAGGTAGATACAAAGACTGATTGTACACTTCAATATTTTTGGGTAAAACTTATTCGGTTTTACTGTTCAAAGGATATTAATAAGTCTGTAGCCTACTGAATTTTTGCTTTTTATATATTAATTTGACTTTCCTTTGATTGCTTTATTTTCTGCAGCCCATTCCACCTGAGGTTGGGGCAACTACCAACTCTGCTCCCAATACTCCCAAAAATACTGTTGCTAAGCCATTAAAAAAGCTTCAGAACAGCACTCCTGCCGACGTAACAGACCTGAAATCTGACGAGTCTGATGAAGATCCTGGAGATTTGATCATTGATGAGTCAGCTGGAAAGGGTAGATACAACTGTTTATCTTTTTGTACAGGTTGAATTTTGCTTGCTTGATGAGTTTCCCCTTTAAATGCAAGAGGGGTATTGTGCAATCAAAGCCGAGTGTTGAGTCGGCCAGGAAAGGAAAGTGGCTTATGAAATGAAAGGAAAAAACAGGATAAGAAAAAATACCTGATCTTATTAAGCCGTGAGTTGTTGCTGTGGTTAACTACTGGAGTCTATTATCTTCTATACCCTTCTGTGTAAAAAGAAGAAAACAAAAAAGTACCGTATGTTGACGTGAAAGTGATGAACCCAAAACTGTACAGCCATTTGGCTAGAGTATAACTTTTCAGCTTCCAACAATATTACATTCTTGAGTTCATTATGTTATTAATTAATGAACCCAAGATAAATAACAAAAATTGTTATTTATGATTCTCGTGTTAATAGGCATACGGTATTAGCAAAAAATGGAAGTAAACATTTTTTTTTCTACCGTATTAGCAACACTTATCATTGCCAGAGTTGTTAGCCACTGTCACCAATGCTTGTTATATAATGCATATATACTATTATCTATAGTAACATCATTAAAATATAATGTTTAGTACTGTATTTATGATTTTTTACTTGTAGAGGATAGAAAAGTGTGGAAGCATTATTTATGTGAATAACAGGTGGAAAGAGAATGAATAGGCAGGTTCAATGTGCGTCATGCAATATCCAATTCAGAAGTTTCCTGTCATTTATGGATGCTCATATTAATAAACAAATGATTTCTTCCAACTTCCACTGTATTTATAGTGAGGTAGCTTGGATAGGATTGTTGACCAAACCACACACTAGAAAGTGAAGGGACGATGACAATTCGGTCCGTCCTTGACCATTCTAAGAAAAAATTGATTTGAGAATGGTCTAGGACAGACCGAAAAGTTGTCGTCCCTTCACGTTCTAGTGTGTGGTTTGGTGAACATATATCAGCCACGTTATTGCGACTCCTTGACTCAAACAAGTGCTGGCTGCCATTGAGATGTTTTGGTTAATTGGGAAGTGATGAATGAGCAATTCAGGTGACTACCTGCTGATAGATGGGTAATTGATTTGAAAAGTGGGATTTGTTCTTTGTGAACCTGAAAACTAGCACTGTAAATTGAAGTTACACTAATTATACTTTGTAAAATTATGCTTCCTTCATGCTTAAATGGAAGTATATTGGATGAGCTAATTCATATACAATTAGTTTTATATATTGTAGGGAAGAAACCTGGCAGAAAAAGGAAGAGGCAAGACTCAGACGGCACCACAGAAACACCAGCGAAGAAAGCTGCTTCGGCAGATTTAAAGAAAACTCCCAAAGATACACCCAAGCAGGTTCGCATACCACTCAAAGAGACACCTAAGGATACTCCAAAACAGGTAGGTTTATTGGGTAGTGAAGGTCTAAAGTGTACTCCACAGCAAGGTGATCTAAAAATAATCCTTGGCATTTGACTATTGTGATAGTACGTACTGACTTTGTTTATGGTACATGATGACCTCATTGATAATAAGCAATTAAAAGTGATAGCAGAACTATTTGCATTGGTCTATTTTAACCAGTAGACCAATATTGTATATTAGTCTATACAGTAACTCTCTTACTGTACATCTGTATAGAAGTATTATTCCCATATTTACATAATTTGCATAAAAAGTGATAACTTAAATCAGCTTACAAAGATAACCACATTACTCTTGTGATCAACATACAATGATAACAACCCTTTTAAATGTTAACAAAGTAAACCTAAGATTGTCTTTGCAAGCATGTGAGGGTGAGAAAGGGTAGAAAAGAAACTGCAAAAAGATAAATGCACAAGTATTGAGGAAAAGCTAAGAATGAGAAAATATTAAGTGACATTGCAAAGGTTTAGGAAATGCAGACAAGTAACCAAGGTTACTTATAGTTATACTATATATGAAGAAATATTGACAAGAGTTGTTTTTGTTGACAAAAATGTTGTATTTTGTATCATTTTGCATGTAACTTTGAAGACTTGGTAAATACTTTTGGTTTTGTTAAAATGTATAAATTCACAATTTGCAAAATACTCTATAAATACCTTACTAGCTGTTAAGGCTTTATAATGGGCAAAAAGTCTTCCTTAAGAGTGGTCTATTGACAAATATATTTTAACTATAGATTAAAGCTTTTGTAATGTTTTCCATTTATTAATTTGTATTTATTTGTGTTCTATTCCCTGCAGTCAGCAGATACAACCGAGGTACAAGTTAGTCGAAGTGGCAGATTGATAAAACCTAAAAAATTCCTAGATGAAGGGGAAGATGCTTCTCGTCCACCGTCTGCTGCTGCAGGAACACCTGTTACAGGCACAGATGGATCCACTGATACACCTGCGGCTACAGATGCACTGGCAACATCCATATCAGGTTAGTTGAGAGGTGTCATGCCTAAAGTTGAAACCTGTCATTCTTCTGGTGTGTCCAGTAGCTTCAAGTATATGAAGAAGCACTAGATCTAAGAATATGAATACTATTTTCTCCTTACATTTGCATAGTTTCCACATATACTAACCTTAACCATATCAGTGGGTTGTTGACAAGCCCTTAGCCACCGCACTGCGCACCTGGTTTCGGCAAAAACCTCATAGTGCAATTGTCAAAGACATATTTTTGTTGTCTTTATAAATGTTCAAGGTAAAGTTAATGTCTAATGTTTCCAAACTCAACCATTTTCATTTCAAAACACAAAGGGTGATGAAAACATTAAAAAATAGCACGAAAACCCTGTGGTCTTATTCCCTTCATTAACCGAATTATTAAGGACCTGCACCTTTATGGATACATTAATTACACTTTTCCTTTTATCTTTTTTTATTTAACTTGATAAACTGGGGAATAACTGATGGATAAACATGGTAAGGTATCCAAGCTCATAAACAAATTTCAATGATTTATTGATCTGCTAAATGTTTTTTCACCCCATCCAGTAATATTTCACACACTTCATTTATGTACTAGGAGAAAATCTTTGATTTGCTGTTCAATAGGTTTATAGAAAAAAAAATTTAATTGTTAATTTTTATTTAACAGCTTGGCATGGACATCATTACGTTCTCGGTGTAGCTACTCTATGAAATAGTTATGCAAAGAAGATTCTGAGCTAATTTAATTGGTATTTGTATATGTTTCTTTTTCAGAAGTAACAACCACCACCACAACAGCAGGAGATATAACTGGTACAAAAAGTCCACCCTATTCTCCACCTATTATCACTCCCAAAAAAAGACTTTCACTTTCTGAAGAAGCAGCTCCATCGCCACGTGAAGTAGTGCTTACTCCGTCGGTAAGTATTAAATATCCAAGCTGTGTAGCTATTTTAATGTTAATGGAGAGTTGTGCTAGCAGCAAGAGCTCTGGTTAGGAAGGACAATATAGGAGGTGGATGCATATTGAAGGAATTGTTCCTAATCTGATATATGAACTTAAAATTAAAATACTGGGTTAATGTGAAGAATCAAAATCAAAATATAAAGCAGTTCAGGTTTTCTGATGATGATGTTAAGTGTTAGGAAAATGAATAAGTTAATGAATGTTAGTTGGATGGGGAATGGGAATATTCTCTGATCTAAGATTGAAGAGAATACACGGAAAAATCACATTAATGTGATATATCAAAGAAAAATTCACAGGAGCCTTTGATGAGGGTTTGAACCCATGCACTGAGTACATCTGGGTGTTCGACTACAGTGCATCCGGGAACACTCGGTGCATAGGTTTGAACCCTAATCAGAGCTCCTGTGGATCTGTTCGTTGGAGAGAATGTTCCATGAAGATATAGTCATGTTGAACAAATGAATGATTATAAAGTAGTGAAGGAAATATAATTGGGTTCAAGTTGATAAGAAAAATATTTTGAACTGAGCATACATAGAGAGAATGTGATATGAATGGGAATATTGAATAGCAAGTGGAAAGAAGTAATTTGATGTGCTGTCTGCAGTTACCATTTATAATGTCCACTTTAATATGCCTAATATTCTTTGGAACAAATGTTCTAACATTTGTTATACACTCTTTGTATCCATAATATTTTTTTTGTTTTATTCCTTGTTTGCTTTGGAAACTTCTTGAATGGGTTTGTTTGCCTAAAATATTTCTTAGATATTTAAGACGCTTATCCCAAAATTTCGTATAGCATTTTCAAACAATTCAGAAGACATTATCGACAGGCGAATGAAAGTGTAATTGAAACGTTTGAGAAGTGCTTGCCAATAATTTGGCAGTTTCTCAAGGAAGAATTTTCCACTAGATTGGTAGTCGCCCAAGAAGTTACCGTAGTTTGTAGTCCTTAGAAGCTGCCACTAGTTTGGCAGTCCATTTAGAAGTGGCACTAGTTTGGCACACACTTTGTGTGTTTTGACTAGTTTGGCAGTCCCTTTAGGACCTGCCACTAGTTTGGCTGTCCCTTTAGGACCTGCCACTAGTTTGGCAGTCCCTTTAGGACCTGCCACTAGTTTGGCAGTCCCTTTAGGACCTGCCACTAGTTTGGCAGTCCCTTTAGGACCTGCCACTAGTTTGGCAGTCCCTTTAGGACCTGCCACTAGTTTGGCAGTCCCTTTAGGACCTGCCACTAGTTTGGCAGTCCCTTTAGGACCTGCCACTAGTTTGGCAGTCCCTTTAGGACCTGCCACTAGTTTGGCAGTCATCCGAGAAGTTTCCACAAGTTTGGCAGTCATCCAAGAAGTTGCCACTAGTTTGACAGTCATCCAAAAAGTTGCCACTAGTTTGACAGTCATCCGAGAAGTTGCCACTAGTTTGGCAGTCATCCAAGAAGTTGCCACTAGTTTGGCAGTCATCCGAAAAGTTGCCACTAGTCTGGAAGTCACCCGAGAAGTTGCCACTAGTTTGACAGTCATCCGAGAAGTTGCCACTAGTTTGACAGCCATCCAAGAAGTTGCCACTAGTTTTGGTAGTCACTTCATGTTCACAACAATGTCTTTTAAGTGTCATTTAATCTACCCTGCCACACCTACTATCGTCCCTTGCCACACCAGTGTGGCATGCTGTGCCCTTTCAACCCCAGCACTTGGTAGTCACTAGCTGAGGGCCACCCAACTTGGTGAAGCAAAGTCATCACAGGGGCCCCGTGTGGCAGAGAATGAATGGACTGCAGAGGCCCAGAGGAAACGTGTGGCGCGCAAAGCTAGTGCAACTTCCGCCACTACTCCAGCACCCACTCTCATATGACTTACATGTGGGTGAGCCTTTTGGACCCAGATTGGTCTCATCAGCCCTCTTCTGACACACAGCCACTGATCTTTGACCTGATATTGAAGTTATGTATATCTTCAACTCCGAAGGACAAACATAATCATCGCCACCCTTTGGGAACCACTGTCGTGGAGGATTATTAGCCTTAAGACATAGAGAGTTGCACTTTGGCATTATTGATACACAAGCCATATGCATTAGGATTTTTTCATGGTTTAGATTAGAGATCAAATACTTCTAAGAGGTAAAGTTGTTAAGGCAGACTGTACACATTTTAAAATATAAATACGACAGAACCCAATTAGCTCAGGAATCTGTACATCAGTTGGTACTAGTCTCCAGACATCTTTTATTATTCATAATGCACTTTTCTTGGTGTCTGCCTTTGTCATCTACATTTTAAGGATTGATCATATATTCATCCTAACTTGCTTCGTGTGCTTTCGTGTGCAAAACTTTTACTTCAGATTATTCGGTAAGGTGATAGTCTCACTTCGTGCAGGTTGGCGTTCTATCCCAGATTTTCCATATCGTTGGACAGCATTCCTTCCCTCTGACCTACCCCAGATCCTTGTCCTCATATCTCTTCCAAGTGCTATATACTCATACTGGCTTAGCACTTTCTCCTCATAATTACCTTACTTTTCCTTGCTTGACTTGTGCATTTTTTTCAAGGGTCCCCCACCAAAGAAGAGAGGCCGTCCTCCAAAGAACAGAGATGTAGATGCTTCACCAAAGGTTACCCTGAATGCCACCCCGCAGTCCAAAACCTCGACACCAGTTGCTACCTCAAAATCATCATCTAACAAGGCTCTTGGGGATAATTTAAAGCAATCACCTGGTTAGTGCCTTACAAATTTTGGTTTAAAAATATAACTCGTTTAAGTAGATTTACCCAAGATACCACTTCATATAAAATTGACGTCAGGTTACATCATTAGTGACAAGACAAAAATATTTTCTACTCTTTCCAATTGTTCTTTGTGCCAGGAAAGGAAATAATGAGCATATTAGGAAATGAGTAAAGGGTATTCATATTATTGCCAATGTTATCTATAAGTGACTTTGCTGGAAATTTGTATCACTTCACTAGCTAAACTAAATATGGCTCAATTAAAAGTAGAACTGGTGGATGGTAATATCAATTACAAATGGATTTGTAATGTTTTTGTTGTTTTTTGCAGCCAAAGAAAAAGCAAAAAATCAAGTGAAGCAGAATGAGATCGAACTTCCTAAAGAGGTTAGTGATGTATTAAATTTGTATTGTGCCAAACTTTGATGTGTACATTATACTGGTTATTTTTTTTGTTTCTCTATATAGTCAGATGTAAGTAGTTTGCCTTCTCACTTACTGTTTTGTTGGTACTTTAACTGTTGCTTGGGTACCTCAGAGTACTTACAGTGAAAAGCCTTTTATACAGTTAAGATATGATGAATCATTATTATACTAGCATACTAGAATAAAACATTCTTTCCTGGTCATTTGGAAAATTACAGGTTTTGCTATAAGAGATGACAATAAATTTGAACAAGTGACTGGTGTCTTGGTCAAGGTTTTTTTTATTTTTATGTAGCTGAGTAATAGAATTACATCACTTTGTTTAGAATAGTAGTGAAGCCTTTTCAAGTTTCTTTGTTTTGGAATATATAAAGTTAATCCATGTCTCAATATCATTATTTAGTTTTGCAGTTTAATGGTATGTGGAGGCATCTCAATTTCTACTGCTGCTACTGTGCAAATTCCTCTTGTCAATCAGTATGCCCAGGACTTACTTATTTTCCCTCACTTCACATAACATGTTTCCTACTTGCACTTTTCAAGTAGGAAACCTACTTGAAAACAGTACTTTTCATTTGTCCATCTTCATTTTAAGCAGTCTTCTGTCACATGTCTGGTCAGAGACTGGGCCGCAGGGAACATTGATCCTCTGAACCACCTCAAGGTATATGTCAACAAAACTTTCAACTTATCTACATCTAATATATTTTCTGCTATAACTGCACTGTTTACTTCTATGGGTTTTTAACAAAATACCTGTACATATATTCATATACTGTTCACTAATTTCACATGTTCTTCTCATATTCTTACCTTGATCTTCACTCTCAAGAACCCACATCGATACAGAGTACATTATTGTGTACATGTAGCCACTATGGGAACATTATGCAACCCTGGAGTACTCCTATATGAATGTTACTCATTACATTATTCATTCTTACAAATGGTCTATTTCTTGCTTAAAAAAAGCTTTCAAAATTGTCAAAACCATTTCACCAATTTTGTACATTTTCATTAGGTTCAGGTCAGACCTGCAACTTTAGCAAGAATTTTTTAAAATGCCTCAACTATAACCAAAATTAAGAAATACAATGTGACCTTGCTTGAGTGAACTTTTTTTTTTTTGGCAGAGGTGACCCCATGCCTGGAGTATTTCCTTCGATACACCAGGCACCTGTAATGCATGTACATTTTGGCCTTACAGTAAACGAATCTGAATTTAAACCACATTTTTAATATCATATGGTACAGTAATATGCTTTAAAAAAATGCAAATTGAATAGTTCAGGAACATAGCTTGAGAAAGGTTTCTCTCTCACTCTCTTCCCTCTTCCTTTCGATAGGTAAGCTAAGGTTTCTTATCGTACCTTCTTAGGAGAGTAGTGTAGCAAAATAAATTTCTTAATGTCCCTCAAGCACAAGTAGGTAAATAAAAACTCCACCCTGGCCGACTATAGTTTACCACACATTCGTTTATACCACTTAGATTGGAAAAATTTATAAAAATTACCATTTGGTTAAATGGGTATCCAGACACTTGGCATGTGACAAATTACCAGACACTGCCAATATCATTTTATTGATTCATGTATCATATTTTGATTCATAACAATAATGTACCTGGATTGTACCAGTATGAGGGTCTGAGGGTTCTTCTACTTCCCCAAGCCCAGCCCGGGTCCAGGCTTGACTAGTAAGAGCTTGGTCCAACAGGCTGTTGCTTGGAGCAGCCTGCAGGCCCACATATCCACTGCAACCCAGTTAATCTGGTACTTTTTGCAGAAAACTGTCCAGTTTTTTCTTAAAGATTTCCAGTTTTGTTTTGACAATATTTTATTAAACTAGATATCATTTTTTAGTCCATCATTAATCATATATACTTCGTGTCTAGAAACAGGCACTTTTATCCTATACTGTACATACATAAACAAATGTAATAGAAAGTCCATTATTGTAAATTTTGTCCTAAATATTCTTGCTTGCTATTAGGTCTTGAACATTAAAATCTGGCCTAAGAAAGTACTGTATGTACAGTACCATACCTATTTTTTGCGGTTATTAAACTGTTTGCAAAATATGATTAATATATCGTAATATTTTCTTTCCAGAGCGATTTAGCCAGCAAACAGACATTCTTGAAATTAAAAACAGACATGGAGTCTGGCACTCTAAATGCTGAAGAGCTTAAGGAACTTACTAAAGCAAACGAAAAGGAAGAAACTCACACAGCCATCATAGAAGAAAATAAAAAGTACACGGAAACATGCAAGGCCAAGTAAGTTTTGAAGTTGTTGTTCACTTGTATTATTAGTGAAACTTTATTTTATCTAATGCAAGCTAGGAAAAGCTTTGGTTTGGGTGTTAATAACTGCTGAATGTAGGTTTGAGTATACCAGTGCCTATGTAAGGGTTGGTAAAAAAAAAAATCCTGGTATTTTTCTTATACCCGAACCCGCCCGAGTTGGGTTTTTATCTATTAACCATTTGGAGACGCTTGTGGTTACAGCCTGCAGCACTGCTAGGTGCAAGAAAGAAAATAATTTTTTTTCTTCTAAGATTGTTAAAATGCATTCCCCTGATCACGGGAAAAATAATACAAAAATTGTTGGTGGCATATTTTGGCTGCAATATGGCGAGAAAGTCTGGCAAAATTGAGGCATTGACAAGAGTATGCGTCCCATGGCTGTATGCTCCAGCAACGCTGTCAGGCGGGAGCTGCCTCAAAGATATTACCTAATTATTTCGATGTCTCCTATTTATTTATATTTTTTCAGTAGTAATATTCAATAGTGTGGAGTGTGATATATTTATATAATAAAATGTGTGAACCGTCGCTATACTCAAAAGTATAAACAGCATAGTGGCCACCCTACACAGCATTACAAGTCACACACCAGCCGCCTCCCTCACCAAAATGGCTCTTCCCACACAGAATACTCCTTTTGCTGTTATTACACTCTATACACATGTTATATATAAGTATCTACATTTGTGTTCACCATAGCGAACCACTAAGCTAGTATGGTGAGTCCAGACAATAACAAGTTGCCACACAGTCAGCAGATGATACTACCTCCCTTCCTCCCTCACCAAGATTACTCCTCCCACCATACTACGCACATTGCTAATTATAACCACAATCCTGCTATTATCAGAATCCTGGTCATTTTTATCAGTCAGGGGTCTTCTGTAATACTATCATCACTAACTAATAGCAGTTACATATATATTTTGACATTTTTAAGCAATGCTGTGTTCACAAGCTGAACAGCAATGCTGTTAGCTCATGCTGCATGTGCCAGCCTTGGTTGCTCACTCGGTACTGAGGCTCTCGCACCTGGGAATGTTACCCACGATTTAAAAAAAAAATGGCATCTGTTTACTAGAGTCCTGAGGAAGCTGACGTGAACCCCGTGTAGCCATGGGACTTTTAAATCCTGTGCAGTAATCTCAATCATATATATATAAGATGTGCGCCATTCAGCCACATTTACTCAAATCATATATACATGTATTGTGCCTTTTAAGGGTTAATAGATAAAAAGTTACAACTTTAATATTTAATAAAAATAACTAATATGATTTTTTTTTAACACAAACCCATCCCAAGTGGGTAATTACCATGCCAACCCTGACTTGTAGGCAAGGTTTGTCATCCAGAGGACAGTGCTGTAGTGGTAAAACTAGGCTTGCTAGAATAGTCCTTTGAAACCTCACTTACATTACAGTATTTTAATACAAGTATGTAAATTTTGTAATTGCAGTATATTTATTTTGTTGTTGCAGTATTTTATTACTTTTCACGTGGTATTTAGAATCATGAGGGGGGGGGGTTACTTTAAGTCACCAGCAGTTGACTAGTGTTTGCCTGCTGTTTGCATGTTACAGAGTATTTAGAGAGGCATACAAAAATTAGGTTTAATTGGTAAATAATAATGTATGTGGTAATTGTATTTTAAAGAAATTGTGTTTTAGCAAGTAATTGTTGTAAAATTATATTTATATTAAAAGTAAAGTATAAGAACTTGTTAAGGTGTTTGTCTAATTTTCCCATTATAATCATTGAGAAGTTCTTTGCAGTGTTTTCCAAAAATATTTACGTTAATGTTCTATTATGATAGTAAAGAACAATGCAACACTTAAACATGTTCATATATTTATTTTATCTTAAAAGTATTTTATATACCATAAATTGGTGGTTATAGTTATATCCATTATTAATTTTTTCACTTCTGATATCGATTGCTCGTGATGAACCTAAAATGTGTCTAAGATGCAATAACCAATTCCTATGTGCCTTGGAAAACTTTTCCAAATCTTGTAATGTTCTTACAGGTCGTCAACATTGAAAATTAGTGCCTGGACCTGGTAAATACTTTAATCTGTTGGCAAAAATCAAATGTCATCCCTAGCAGTTTTGCTTAAAAACATAATTAAGGCAGCCTCCTGCAAGCCCTCGCGCACGCGCGCACACACAAATTCAACACATTCAAAGGTTTGCCACCAGACTAGTACCCGAGCTGAGAGGTATGAGCTACGAGGAGAGACTACGGGAATTGAACCTCACTTCGTTGGAAGACAGAAGAGTTAGGGGGAAAATGATCACCACATTCAAGATTCTCAAGGGAATCGACAGGGTTGGTAAAGACAGGCTATTTAACACAAGGGGCACACGCACTAGGGGACACAGGTGGAAACTGAGTGCCCAAATGAGCCACAGAGATATTAGAAAGAACTTTTTTAGTGTCAGAGTGGTTGACAAATGGAATGCATTAGGAAGCAATGTGGTGGAGGCTGACTCCATACACAGTTTCAAGTGTAGATATGATAGAGCCCAATAGGCTCAGGAACCTGTACACCTGTTGATTGACGGTTGAGAGGCGGGACCAAAGAGCCAGAGCTCATCCCCCGCAAGCACAACTAGGTGAGTACATAAAAATATAATATCGACAAAAACAAGCACATGCACTGTTTACAATAAAACAAAACTTAATTAGAAAAATAGAAATAGGTGAAGTGTTAAAGCTTAAAGGAGGTATTCTTACCATTTTTGGCTAAATAGCTACTAGTGACTTTTGATTGTTGCCTACAGATTAAAGTATTTGCCAGATTCAGGCACTTGTTTTGAATGTCAAAAACTCGATAGAACATTACAAGATTTGAAAAAGTTTTTCAGAGCACATGGAACAGATACTTTTTGCGTCATAGCTGTGTGTTTGGTTCGTCAACCACAATCAACAATAGCAGCAAGAGTATTAATTGTATTACTGTATTTTGTGTAGGAAAATGTCTTTACCTTCCTTCCTTCCTCCACTACTCTGGATGTCACATAAATAATTACATTTTTCCTTATGAAAAAGATATCTTTTTCTCATAATTTTAATAGCGTTCATATTACTGTACTATAATGCAAACATTCTGTTAGCCTAGTCTGGCAACATTTCTAGCTGTTACCCACTAAGCGTTTTATAATAGAGCATTTTGTTTTTGTATTTATGATGCATTAATATATTTCATTCCTAGATACAAATAAATTCTTACTATTAATAATAATTATCAAAGTATAAATAATATATGGTTATTTATATAATAAATTATAGCTGTTACCCACTAAGCGTTTTGTAATAGAGTATTTTCTGTTTTTGTATTTATGGTGCATTAATATATTTTGTTCCTAGATACAGATAAATTCTTACTATTAATAATAATTATCAAAGTATAAATAATATATGGTAGTGTTAACAGAGCATTAGACACTAAATTATGACAAATAGGTCAGAATGCAAACTGGTAAGCTAACACAATTCACCCCATGAAGTGTGAAAATATCGGTACCTAAGCTGTCCTTACACTACTACACATCTCATCTTCATTATAGACTTTTCAGCCTTTGCAAATGATGGGAAAATAAGCATGAAAGTTGCTCACTATAAAAATAGTCTTCCAGTTGGCAATGTAAAACATGTTCCACAGTAGCAAAGTCTAGCTACTCAGGTGTGGAAAACACTATGAAACCAATTGAATACAGGGTATAAGATGACCTAAGGTTTAGTGAACATAAACAAACTTGGCATTGACCATGAAAATAATAGCATTAATTATGAAAACCAGGAAGAGGAATGAATCTCTTGTGATCCTGCTTTCCAATTAATTGCACTATAACCCTTCAACTACTGCACTGTATGTGCCTTAATCTTTAAAGGCAGATGAGACATCCAAAATGGAAGGCATTCACTGATTCTATACAAAGCCTTTCTGATTCAAGTAATGACAAGAAAAGCCTAGCCGCAGTCTGGGCTGTGGGAGTAGAACTCTTGAAATTGAAGAAATGTAAAAAAGTATGTGACCAAAATTAAACATTTAATATTTGTTTACATTTGAACTGAAATTTAATATTACGTTTACATTTGAACTGAAACCCTTCTCCAGGTATGCTTCAGGATGAGGGTTAGTGCATCAGTAGTGGAAGTATAGATAATATATATGAATGGAGGAAGTATTTATTCCTTAAGGTAAGTTAATGATTTACATGATAATGTTTCATGTAACAATATTATATTTGGTTTACCAGGACTCTAGACATGGAAGCTCAGCTACTGGACTTGGATCAGAAGATACGCGAGGCCCTGTCTGTCACTAATCCACGTAAAGATGATGCCAAAGCTTATCTAGAGAAAATGTCCAAGTTAGTCATCTCTGGTTTAATGCTGAAAAAGAATCCTCATGTTGTTGATGCCATAAGAAAAGTAAGTTTATCTTTATGTAAAGAGAGTACTGTTCATTATCATCTTTGTAATTTCCCTTGGTTAATTTTTTCCTAAAAGAGGCTTAGACGTGGAGTATTTTGGAAAAGTTACACTAGACAATTATATCAACGTGATTTTCATTCTTAAAAATGCTGATAATAAGTTCTGGCTGTAAAACATTCTGAGCATTGTCATTAAATTGTGTTTTTGAAAGATCAAAGATCAGTAATAGTTTGGATTAAATCTTCAATTCAAAGTTTATATTATGTTCATTTCTTAGTCCTTAAAAGGAGCAAGCATCATTGTAAATTAATCTTAATAATATACAGGGCTTTTAGACTATTGTATACTTCGTAACTAATAAAATAGGCCATAAGAAAACCTCAAAATATAGTTTGGAGGTACAGTTGAGCGAATTGGTGAATGTGGTCACGTTAATTAGCTGTCTCTAATTCTAAATTGCAGTAAGAGTTCTGGATGTACTTTACAGAAAGAAGCTTGGACCTTGATACTAAACCAATACCTAAAAACCACACATCAACATATACTGTATTCTCATTTAAAATTACTCTCGATACACACAAGATATGCATAGTCAGCACAAGTCCCATTAAAATTACTATCTTCGACTTATCCAATACTGAATTGGGTACATATTCTCTTTAAAGGTGTGATAAGGGGCAATGTTTTTATTTAATATTTGCATCCAAATCTTGCCTGGGAAAGTTTGAATGACGGGACATAAACTACGAGTATTATCTACATAGTCATTTTTAGGCCTTGTCTTTCATTGTCTTGTGACTGGTGCACATGCTCTCCAATATTGCCAAACAATAGGATTATCATTTGCAATATACTGTCCTTAGTTAAAAATTATTTGTTTTATTTTATGAATTTCATATGCTTTTAGAGTGGCTTTATAATTTAAAAGTTCTGTATCTGAACAATTAACAAGCCTTATTTATATATTTGTTATATCTGATTCAGAGTCCATAAAATTTGATATTATTAGAATGATGGTAACTGCCTATAACAACTTCTTTCCTCTTGATTAATATATACCTCTAATATATAATACAAGCTGTCATTAAATACTGCACAATCATTTATTCACTTGCCCCCCCCAAGTCTTCTGTACATATAAAATTATCTTTTACCCTCCTTATTTATGCCTTCTGTTTGAAATGTGCGCACACAATTCTGCATCCATTTCTTCCTAATTTCACCTACCTTGGTGTTTGTTTAGTTTACCTTTAACTGCCATCTCCCCCTATCCATCAAATGGGTCCTGGCTGATTGCAACCATAGAATCTAGTTTTCAGTACATGCTAAAATGAGAAGCTTTGTTCAAATTTAAATGAATACAAATTGATACAGTATATTTACAGGAAAATAAAAACAAAATTAGACAAAAACTAAAATCCATGAAAAATATACCTTGAAATATCAGAGTATTGCTTCCATCTCCAGTTACACTGTCATTAGATCTGGAAAAATCTAATGACAGGAAAAAATCCTCCAATACATGGATTTGCTTTGCCATAGTAACCTAGTAAGCTTTATTGATTGGCTACTGCCAGTATGCAAATGTTTTTTTGTTGTTAAAACTTTAAACTCTTAGTCTGGCACACTTAAAAAGTATCTAACTTGCTTGGAGAAGCTTCTCCCTGCCCTCAACACATAGTATAGGAAACCAAAGACGTGAAGGATAAATACGGAATTAAGGCAAAAGTAAAACAAATGACAGTCCTTGTGAATTTGTAAATATGTAGTTGTTCATTGAAGGAAGTATAGACTTTCAAGCTTGTTTAATTTATTGGTGTGTATTTTATTGAAACATTTATTGGATATGCATTAAATTAATTGTATAAATGAGTTTTGCTGATCTTTTAATGCAACAAAGATTGATGCTAAAATATATTTTCTTTATAGTGTCGTAGATACAAGTACGATGACGAGGTACGGCTGAAAGCAGATATGGTGTACAACAGGTTTAAGGTTTGTAATAAATAATGAGTGAGCATACCTATGTCATTGTTTGAGTTCATTTGAATGGTGTGAATTTATTGTATTTAAATATTATCCTGTTAATTTACACTTGCAAGAACTCCACTATATAAGTACTGTACAGTGAACTTCCACTATTGTGAATTAATTTGGACTTGACCTCTTCTGTTGCATCATGCTTCTAAATTTAACTTTTATTTGCTGTTATTAATACAAATTATAGAGGGTTGGTTTGCATAGATTTTCTATACAAAACCTTATTGAAAAAGTGCATTTTGAATAAAAAAAATAATGCTTGACGATTTTGTTTTCTTCAGTGAAAATTTCATAGTAGAAAAAAAGGTTTGATGCTACTGTGCGTAATCTCTAATTGCAAGTGATTTTAACCAAATCATCCCTCGCATCCTGAGATCAAATTCACTGAGAGTTGGATTAGTGGGAATCCCAGCCTGTCCTAATTTGGCACTCATGTTTTGCCTAACCAAAAATGTCCAAGCCCATGCAACCTACCTAACCTATCAAGGCTGATGCATAGAAAATGTCAATATTACGGCGCTTTAATTTTTACTAATACTGTGTGTGTCACAGTTTTAATGGATTGATCGATTTTCTAAAAGATGTGATAAAAGGTGAGAGGACGGGTTGGGGCATTCACCATATAGTGTAGACATTTAAGCATGTATATAATTGCAAGAACTTTTACTATAGTACTTACAAATCCATCCTCCTGACATGATAGTATTCATGGTAACCGTTTGGTCGAAAGTATCGATATGTAGTGATGGACCCCAAAAGTTATCTTTTTGTATTTTTAATTTTGTCTGAAAAATAATGAAGCCAAAATCCAATCGTTAACATTCCTAGGCCTACCTTAGTGCATATACAGTATGTACTATATTAGGCTTAGGGTAGCTAGAAGAGGTTAGGTTAAGTTCAATTTTTATGTTACGGCTAAAAAAGTTGACTCATTTGGCCAAATTCAGTAATACAAAACTTCAACTTTTTGGTTGTTTATCACTACCTATTGATACTTTTGACAGAATACTTAATAAGTGCTATCAATTTAGGAGGGTGGGCTGTACTGGGCTAGTAAACAAGGTTTGTTTTGCCTAACAACCAGAGCAGTTGGTCTGCTCTGAATAACATCATCATTATCTTTGTTATAATAATTACTAATTTAATTAGTTCTACCTATGTTAGGCATGGTTAACCCTTGGGCTGCCCCTGTTTATATGAGACAAAACCCTGGTATGTGGGGGAAAATTTCCCAAAATCCTTTTTTTCTTCTCACGAAAAAGTAAAAAAAAAAATACGACTTTGGCCATGGTTGTGCAAGGAAATCTCATGATGATGTCACGATTCATTAGCTTTCATGGAGCAATCTGCCTGTGGAGAGTCACCCTGGGTCTGGTGTGATACCACCCTATCCTGTCATTTACCTCAAGCTCTTGCTTTGCCTTGCTGCCATACACAGTATATCTGTAGTCTCTCTGTTACCTTCATCCTATCTTTTCTTTTCTTGTTCTCACTGGCTCCATAATTCAGTTATGCCTCTCCATCTCCATTGGAGTACACTGCACGGCCTGCATAGTCTTCAGTCTCTAACATAACCAATCTGCTTGCTCTCTCAACCTCTGTTCCTCTAATCACTGCTGCAGATGTTTTGCTTGTCTCATTCTTCATTTGGCTTATCTCTCTTATTTACCTCACTGCCACTATTTCTTGTTCCTTTGCTTTAAATACATGTGCAGTATGGTATGGCCTTTCTCAATTCTAATTTTCACTATCCTTTTCCCCCCTGCCCCTCTACTATCCCTCTCCATTGTCTACCACTTTCCTCACTTCATCCACTTGTAGAATCAACCTTCTTGGCTACTCGATCTCTCCTTCTGATACTCTTAAATGCATCTTTTAAATTCGGTCACCTTGTGTCGATACCTTTTAATCTTTTCCGTGTATTTGTTTTTTATCCTGCTCAACTCTCTTGGGCTTTTGCCTTTGTAGCGGTGATCTTCCTGCTGTATACGTCCAAGCACTTGGGCTGGATGGTAGAGTGACGGTCTCGCTTCGTGTAGGTTGGCATTCAATCCTTGACCGTCCAAGTGATTGCACACCATTCCTTCCTCCTGTCCCATTCCAAGTGCTATATAATTGTAATGCCTTGGCACTTTTCCCCTTATAATTCCATTCCTTGCAATGTACAAGACTGTTTCTTCACTATAGTTTCTGATTCTGTATTTGTTCTTCTCTTTGCATCTCTTGTGTTTTCCTTCTTATTTTTATTTTGTTGCTTGCACACACTTGCTGTCCTGGTCATCTTTGTTTTATCACTGCTTTCAACTACAGTATAAAGAATGTGGTGTCTGATCGTTAATATATTGTTGTGTTTTACTGTCTTTAGTCTTTGCACCCGATGTGTTTGAAGGATGAGAATTGTTAAAATTACAATGAGTCTACTGAGAGGAGACTAGGATGATAATGGGTTTCATATTAAAAGTTCTTTTGTAGAGTTAAACAGCAGACAAAGTTATTGGATTTTTGGCCTAGAAAGGTATTGAAACCATCAATTAAATTCATTCCAATTTTGAAATGAGAAAATCAGGATTGATCCATGGTTCAACTGACTGTGCAGAGGCAAGGGATAGAACAAAAAGATATGAAAAACATAGAGCGCAGTGTGTTTTTCCAATTCCACAGGCAGTTTAAATACAATTTAGAAGAGCAACCTTAATTGTTGCAGTCACATACTGAGGAAAATCATTTAATTAAGCCAAAAATAGATGACTGTCCTTATGGAAATTTTAAAGGTGGTTTGAGGAACTCGAAAAGACATTCCAGACTGTTAATAAAATGCCCAAGAGTGGACAACAATAGCAAGTATGTAGTTTTTTTTTTTTTTTTTTATGTAGGTGTTCGTCAGATATTGATATGACTTTAAAGGAGGCAGCAAGGGCACTTTGAATTTGTTAACTATATGGTCTTCACATTAGAAATTGGGCAACCTGAATATCTTCAAAATGGTAAATGTCATGTGTGTTTTCAATAAACAGGACAGATAAGCAGCCCTAAACAACAGATCGGTTTTCCTAGCATGCATTTCCTGTAAATTACAGTACTGAAGAAAATAGTCAGTAAAGGAATAGTGGACCATCTCGAGAGAACTACCTAACTTATGGTGGCTCTGGGAATCAATGTCCTTGGTTGGCGGTCTGATTAACCAGGTTTTATTTATATATATATAAATATATATATATTATATTATATTATATATATAGTAAATAAAAAGTTAAACATTGGTTACATGCAGGGAACAAGGCTACTTGTGACAAGTTGTATAGCTCTTCAGATGGCGGGCAGGAACCATGGATGCAGTGAGCATTTCCTCTCTGGATCGCCACACTGTTGTGGCGATGGCTATGGGTCCCTACAGTTGCACCAGAGGTGGTACCCCTTCTATATAAATAAATAAATAAGAACCTAAAGGGGGTACCACCTCTTGTGCAATTGTAGGGACCCATAGCTTCAGAGAAGACACAAAAAAGAAGATTAAGAAAATCCATTAGTTTGTACCAAGACTGGTGACTGGGAAAGGGAACTAAGTTATGAAGGCAGGTTAAGGATGCATAACCTAAAAATTTTAGAAGCTTGTGAAAATTTGTTTCAGGAAATTATAAACAATTCTGATAATTCAAGGCATAAAATATTTAATTTTCAAATGATTATTAACGATCAAGACACTGAAAGAGTTTTTGAAGCACATCCCTACTGTACTAGGCTGGGTACATTATTTGATGTATTTGTGATACGTATTGACAAGGTTAGATTTACATAATGCATATTTTTAGGTGATATTTATATTCATGCAGAGGCAAATTTTATGTATTGTACTGTACTTTAAAAATAACCGGCTTAAAATGAGAACTATCAGTACTGTATGTGGGTGATGTCACAGTTTGTTAATGTATTGCGTTCACCTGGTTAACTTCATTGTACATATCTGTAAGTATTCATAATTTTTTTTATTATTTTATATGTAATTCATTATTTTAGTGTCATCATTGAGATATGATTGAAATGTCTCGGAAGCAATACCTTTGGTGACCAATTCATGTAGTGTGTGTAATGCTGATGCAATGTTCACTAGCCGCTTGAGTTATTATCCATTATCCCCTGCCTGTGCTTCTTTGGCTGATACCCAATAAAGTGATAAACTAAATGACCAGTGACATTTATTGTGATATTCTATAGCACACAAATGATCAATCATTGTTGCTTCTTATTTTTCAGGGCGTACTTTTGAGAAGAATTCGATGTTCACCTGCACAGATCAATTCCAATGTTAATTGAGCTAGTGTCCAAAAATGTTATAATATGATGAAGTGTCATGTCTACTGTAGTGTCTTAAAACATAAGCAAAAAATATTGTGTTATAGGGAATGCTAAGGAGAAAAACTGTCATGTAATGCAGGGTGGCTTGCAGTGATTGGTACTATGGTGATGTTAGTAAAGCGTGCGATGCTGTGCACACGTTATACACGCCGCCTTGTACCTATATTACACGTTCATTTTGAGAACATTGCTCTTGGATGTCTTTTCCATTTCCTGCTTCAGTGATAATAGTAATCTTTTAATAATGGGCATGCTTTCTTGATTCAAGTTTTCTTCATTAATGCCATGTAACTGTATGGGTGATTTTGATTGCCCAAATGTGTGTTTGTAGTTTAGCAAATGTAGTTGCATATGCCCATATAACAGCATTTGTTAGTCGGCCAGTCACTATGGTGCGCCCGGTTGTAAGGCACAAGTGTGCATCTGTTTAAGAATGACTTTGTCTCATTTGTCAGTTTTGCAAAATTTGTTTGTTAAACAAGTTTGTAAGCATGTGCATGTGTGTGTGTGAATTTGTAATTGCATTGTGAATCAGGATCTTGGGAAAGTTTAAAACGTACCTTACCGCTAGGATCTTTCAGAGACTCTAGGTTACCCCTGCCTTTTGATCTTTGAGAAACCCCAACGTACCCCTGCCTTTTGATCTTTGAGAAACCCCAACGTACCCCTGCCTTTTGATCTTTGACAAACCCCAACGTACCCCTGCCTTTTGATCTTTGACAAACCCCAACGTACCCCTGCCTTTTGATCTTTGACAAAACCCAACTTACCCCTGCCTCTAGTTATAGTGCTGCCGAACAAAACCATTTTAAATGCAAAGTAACATTGTATACCTGTTTAAGTATTTGTATCAGTTCCAATTTAATTTTGATATACAGTAGATTGTCCATTCAGATTCTTTGAAATATAGATGTTTTATTATTCACCCACGATTAAACAAATTTCTAAGCAAATAATGTTTTGTGCTCTTGTTAATTGTGTGGGGATCAACTGATTATATTTTATTATGGGCTGTAAATCCAGAATATATATATATATATATATATGAATATATATATATATATATACATATATATGAATATATATATATATATATATATATATATATATATATATATATATATATATATATATATATATGAATATATATATATATATATATAATAAAGCAAAACTAAACACAACAGGAAGGGGGTGGTAGGATAAAAAAAACATAGATACAGTATTAGAGGGGAGCTAAAACTCTTCTCTAATGCATTGTGCGGGCTTTTCTCCGAGGCTAAGGGTCCCCTTCTTCCAGCCAGAGGTGGTACTCCCTTCCTAATTGTAGTGTGTATTACTGTCTACAGGGGTTTGTGAAATAATATATATGGTAAAGAGAGATGCTTGCAGAAGATAAATGTATACTGTATTTACAACATATCCGGGTCAGGCTAAATTTTGAGGATCATATATTATTGAAGGTTTTACAAATCTATTAGTAGTTTCTATAGAAGGCAATTAAAATTCTGCATGTGTGCTGTCTAAAAATAAGACAAATGTATCTGGGGTTTGACCTGTTCTTCAGGGCCACATCTGCAACTGAGATTTTTCTGTTGGTTTTTTACCCAGACTTGTGTCCTTGGAGTTTAAATTAGTTTTTCCATTGAACTGTTGAAGACTGGCATGATAGTCTTTTATGTTCCATGGAGACCAAGTTTGCAACATTGTAGTGTAGGTATAAATAGATATTGAAGGGGCATGGTTGTAGGTAATGTGCATATTAATATGCCAGCCTAGTTTGACTGTTGCACTTCATGTTTAGGCTCTGTTTGAAGCACAAATACAATGGACCAGTCCCTCTCTTAATACAAGTGTTGCGTATTGTAAGGACACTGCGACACTGCTTTAATCTGCAGAAGGATTGAATGCACGTTAATATAGCTTTTGGCTTAGATTCAGGATGCTGGTAGCTTTGTGTTGTGCATATAGAAATCTCAGTTTATTAATTAGTGAGGCTTCTATTGCAATTCTTTTTAGCCTTTCATATTTATTTCTTCATTTGCATTTCTTTCCCCAGACATGTGCCATTGATATATCATTATACTCTATAATCTAAAATTACTGACTTAACAGGTTTATACAAATTATACTTTCATGTCTGTTTTTTCCATATTACTTTTTGTCAAGGTAGATCTTACTAAGTCTGTTTTTTAAGTTAAAATTAGGTAATGTAATGCATATTTGAAAGTTGTAAGCTGAGGCAGTAAAGTTTCTTGTACTTCATCCCAAAACGTGCTATCTGACAAGTATAAAATTAACATTAATATCATTGACAGTTGCTGTTTGTGGTTCCTGAAAGTCAAGAATGGGACACAATGTTTGCTGAGAAAGTGGCCGAATTTGATGAAGCTTGTCATAAGTCTGGCATCACAGAGGAGAGTAAGATCTCATTGGTTCGTGACCCAACCCATCATAGTAAGTAGGCTTAAATAATGGGGGAAACGTCATGGTACGTCTGTGACATCACTTCAGGTTTTTTACGGCATATAGTCAGTCCATTGTAATCCATCTTCCAGTCATTTTTAAGAAGCATTTTACATTTGGCTGCTTCACATTGTAGTGTAAATACTTGTTCCTTACCGTTAAGAATGGACTGTTCAAATGTTGGGAAAAAAAGTTCCATGACATTCTCCTGTAAGGCTCCTAATGGAATACATCACATGTGAAGAGATTTTAAGGCCCCTGTACCATTAAATTTAAAGCAGTGTATATTTGAGCACAACTAAATATTTTGCAATGGATCTGAATCTAAATGGGGTAAAAATGTAGATAGTCATAGAAGTCTTTATATGATCCAAGTACAAAACACATTGATATCTTTGTATTTGTTATGTGGCACCTAAATTATTTTTTGTGGAGAAGGCTTAACAAATCTCATATGAATATATTGAGATTTTACCTTAATCATCTAAGCCATTAACTAGTTTACTGGATATGTAATGAATCTATATGTAATTAGGATTGTACATAGCTTGCCATAAAGAATTGTATTAATGGTGGACAAAATAGCTTTTTTTTAATTAAGATTTGGCCAGAGTAGAGTTAGAGGCTGAAATATAGGAGCACGACTCTTCACACTTCCCATATGAAATATGATTTGGTCCCAATCTGTGAGGCTTCATACCAGCATTAATACATTGCATGTGTTCTAGTGGTTCTTCATTGCATGTAGATGGCAGCAAGGGTGAACATTATTTTTATCGGTTTAATTCAGCCAGGCACTGCTGCTGTTAGTTGAGGTTCACTGTACCTTATGCAACGAACAATGGGCTCCTGTACCCTCTAAAAGAAAGCCTTATTAGGACATATGTCAAATATTCTGTCTTTTCTGCAACTTGCACACACAACTGCCCTTTATGTAAATTTTGCAAAGTACTAATTGACCTTGAAAATCTACAGTCTTAGAATGTACTATTTGGCTTTATTCTGGAGTACCATGGAGACTTGTTTGATTGTTGCCACTTTGAATGTTTGGGATTAGGATTTAATTAGCATAACGTGGTCAGTTTTAGTAGTCCACTTCAGTAAAACAGTATGAAAGTTGACCAGCCTCCTCCCTGCTTTATCTTTCAGTTGAAGGCTCTCAAGAGGAGGCCGGAAAAAGGGGAAAGGAAAACACAAGTCCCTTAACAAAAAGCTGAACCAGACAGGAAAGCCAAATGTTGCTAAGAGATCAGCAAGTTTGAGCCCTAGTTAGTACTTAATCACGGCTTCAACTGTACGACGAGATTGATATCTTTGGATCTTAAGATATTGTGTGTTTGAGTAAGGTGTATTTTTTGAAGCTTAGATGAGACTTTGAAATGGCTCAAGATGTAAAGACTAAAACAGATTGGTAGCACTGAAATATGGACATACTGTCAACTTCCAGTTATGTGACCAGATCAGTAAGTTTAAGCCTGCGGTGTTATGACAACCAGTGTGGCTTGGAGCTGAACCTGATCAGAAAGTGTCTTAGACATAAGGTTATTATATATAAATTCATAAGGTATCATCTTTAAATATAAGCCTAATCTAGTTCTTTGTATACAAGTGTGACAAGGCTAGTATAGCAGGCTTTAGATGATGGTTTGCAAGAACAGCTGCCTCTGTGACACCTATCACAACATCTGATATAGTTTACATGATGTTATTAAATGCAAATATGTATTTTAAAATTATTTAGCAAGCAAAAAAAAAATTATTAGATTTAAATATATGCAGTTTGCCCAGTATGTATATAGTAAATATATTTTCTGTATGTGTAAGCTTATGAAAATTAGAGACAAAATAAGACATATGGAGATCTCTTCAGTATGACGCTGGGCTTGCATAAAGTTAATTGTCGTTCATTAAGTCCCCTCATTGGAATTTTTGATTGCTGAGAAGTTATGTTGTAAGATTTGATTAGATATTCAACTCTGTTTTCTCTACTGATTTCTTTTTTAAGAAAGATGTGCAATGCAGGGAAGAGAGGAAGGAGTCAATTAGTCATTGAGAACCGTGACTCTGAAACATAGCATTTCATTATTGAGGTCAACCTGAAACTTTTGGTATCGAAAGAGGCAGAGTAGTGTAGAGAGAGATGAGGGGACTGATTGCTATTTTTCTTACTCAAATAGTGTTTTAGATAAAAAAAAGATTTAAGCTTGCAATAATGATTGTCAATGAGGAGATTACATTTGATGTTAAGGGAGACTCTGGTGTGCTGCATGGGGTACAGTCCAACCTCTTCCATTCATTATACAGTACATGTGAGGAAGAGAGCAACATTACCTGAACACATTGGTGTTTGTGGCTCGGTTGAATATAAATAAAAAGTTTGAATTTTGATAGGACTTGCAGAATTCTGTGTTCATCTGACAGTAACAAATTGGTTTGACCTTCAATCAATAATATATCATAAGTGATGGACATGTTTTTTATATAAAAATCAGTTTGATGTAAAATTATGGATGCACGTTGCCTCATTTTGCTAGTTTTTTCTAATAGAAAGTCATAATTTGATGTTTTTCCAATCAAAACTATTTTCCAACGGCTTTGGCAAGTGTCTCAATAAATTTCATATGCATCATTGAATAATAAATTGATTGATTGCTGATGAAAGACAAATGAATAAAGTGTAGTTAGGCACCAACTACAGTGGTTAGGAAATCATCCTTAATTACAATTATAAGTTTAGATTTTTCTTTCTTGTGTATTTTGGGAAGAATTCTTAAATGTATAGTGAATTTATTTTAGAAATAAATTAAAAAGGAAAGGTCCTTTAACAGTTGTTTGCTAAGTCCTCAAATACAGTTTAGTACATACTCGTGGGATTAATCTTCAAATCGGTTTGGCTTCAAGATTTCAGTCGTGCAATTTTTTTTTTTTTTTTAAGGTTACAAGTCCATTTTATTATTGTTGGTTGACTTTGATGCAGTTCATGTATGGTTAAAGTTGTGTGGCAGTCTCAGTTGTCTGTTAGAGGTATACTATGTATTCAAGTAAATTGATTTTTGGTGGACCCTTTAATGGAAATATTCAGGACTTGTAACTTTTGTTAATGTTTCTTTAGTGACATATTCACGTACAAGTGCACCAAGAGGCATAAGTTGCAGATTTTAACACCCTGAATAATTGAAGTGCTTGTTTTAAGCAATGCTGCAGATGATTCATGCATAACGATTCATAGTTATATTTTAAAGTCGAATATCATATTAAAAGTTGGCAAGAAAATGAATTTCTCTTAAGTTTTGAACAGAAGGGTTCTTTTAAGAACATATTGGACAAAGTTTGCATTACTGATCTCCACTCTGATGAGGACCATATTTCTTTTCTCCTCTCTTTTAAAGTGCAGTTTAAACTGCATTAATTATTATGAGTCATTGTGATTTGTCTTTTCTTGGTGATTCTGATTTTTTTTGTATTTTCTCTGAATTCAAGTTAAGGGGGCATTAACAGTATTGATACAAGTAGTTCTCTTTGAAATTTTACTGTCATTGTTATGATGATCCATTAAGGGTCAGTGCATCCTGGTTTATTTAGTATATACAGAATGATTAATGGTATTTTATTATATTTGGTTTATATTATAATAGTAGTATTATAACCATACACCAGAACAGTAATTTTAAAAATCTTGGATTGCTATTCAAATGAGCCTCTTAATGAATTATAGCCATAAAGTTGAGTCACTTACAACCTGTTTTATATCTTGGGATTAGTTCAACTTGGCAAGGGAAACTACTAGCACTTGACTTGTCAGTACAAAGGTGCATTAAATAGTGCTAATTATGTATGAATCACTTAGAATAAAAGCTGAATCACCATATATTGTTTAAATACCTTTTAATAAGTAATAACAACAACAAATAGAGTATAATACACTTTCATGGTGGTAATAATTTGTAATGCATTTAAGGATCATGATTTAGTAAACGTTTTGCTCACGCCTGATCGTTATCAAGTTAGAACTAGGTTAAAACCTGAAGGGGAAGAAGATGAGCGTGCAAGTCCTTCTTCAACCCCCCCTCGGTCTTCTTTTTTTTTTTTTTTTTTTTTTTTTTTTTTTTTTTTTTTTTTTTTCCCCTTCCCCTTCTTGTACCCCAGTTTATACTTGGTACTGGTATAGTATAGACTAAATTGTCCTCACTTGAATGTTTGTAATGTGTGGGTTCAGTGTTTATTTGTTCCATGTATTAGTATGGTATTACGACTCCTTCAATTATAAGGTGAATAGAATAACCATACATACAAAACTTAAACCTAAATACATTTTATTTAAAGTTCAATTCTCTATACAGCTTTGTCATATATTTCTGCTTTCCAAGTTGAAAGATTCTGAAGCATATGTTACCAGCCCAGTATATGTTGAAGAGAAACTTATACATTGGTTTTGATCAAGTATTGACCCGAGTAAAACAACTGTTTGACGTTACTTCAGAATTTGAAGAACTAAAAATGTTTCGTAATCTTATCTCAGTACAGTATCGCCTAGTTTTGCCTTTGGTATATGCTGGAGAGAACAAGCATAGACCTTCCAGACTGTGGGTGGATGAGTACAAGTGACTGCCTCTCCAGACTGTGGGTGGATGAGTACAAGTGACTGCCTCTCCAGACTGTGGGTGGATGAGTACAAGTGACTGCCTCTCCAGACTGTGGGTGGATGAGTACAAGTGACTGCCTCTCCAGACTGTGGGTGGATGAGTACAAGTGACTGCCTCTCCAGACTGTGGGTGGATGAGTACAAGTGACTGCCTCTCCAGACTGTGGGTGGATGAGTACAAGTGACTACCTCTCCAGACTAGTTTACGTACAAGTACAAATTATTTCCTCTCCGGACTGTGGGTGAACCATGGATTGAGTACAAGTGATTACTTTTAAATTAAACAAGAATTTACATTGATTTTTATTCTAGTATGCTGTCCAAAACCTGATCTTGTATCTTAAGGGTCTTTATTTTTAGGTGCAGTATCACTTTCCTTTAACATCCCTTAGGTTATCCAGTTCTTGGTGGTCTGGTTGAACTCTTTGTTGCTCACCCCCAATAACCTTTTTTCCGGCAGATCTTTGATATGTAACGGGTACGGGGTAGTAGCTCTGCTCTGTCCACTACCCTGCCCTTAATTATCTTAAATCAAAAACCCCAGAGTTCTAAATCTCAGACCCTCAGCACGCCTCATGACCTTCGACCGCCTTAGATCCTACAAACCTGAGACGTTGCACTAGGCTTTTCTAGCAAAAACTCGAGGACCTTTGCTTGCTGCCACCACCAAACCAAAGACGAAGTCGGATTAATTAGTCCGAGTTTGGGCCAATTAATTAATTAATCATTAAACCCTTGGGGTGGATTATCCCCAATTTCGTGGAAAGGGAGGTATGAGTTTGTCAAGTGTGGAAATTAAATAAAACGAGGGAATATCTCTGATACTAAGAGAGACTTGGCTGGCTTATAATCTGGATATTGAGTTAGCCCAATAAAGCAGACTCATGGAGCCAAATGGCAAAGACAATCACGTGATATCATAAAAGGAAATGCTCAAAAAATACGAAAACCATAAATATTAAGACTGTTTATTGAAGCAAAGCTATACAATGTAAATAAAAACACATTCCCTAGCTTAACAATCCCTAAACTTAAATATTTCCTACCGAGGCAAAAATGAACATCAACTGTACCAAACTCTTAAAACACGCTACTGTAATTTAAGAAACCAGGTGATGTTGCTCTGGTCTCCAGAGGTTGAGATGGTTACCTCTTCCGCTGCCTGAACCATACTGACTAGCCACCTCTGCTCAGGACTGAGGCTACCTAATATTATTCTGCCTGGCTCTGATTACTAAACAGGGTTAATTGATCAAACTTATGTTATTTACTAGCCAACCCAGATGGTTGAATTTTTATTGAAACTGGTGTTTATTCTATTAGGCATCTAGGAAAAAGCTATATCCAATTACAATATTGGCTAGTGATCTGAATTTGTACTTTGTGAATTAAATATATGGAAAGTTGTAGTCATCCCCTAGCCGCTTAACCTTGACCCCAGACTACGTCTTAAGCGGCCTACGAACTAGGCCCTATACTTCTACATGATGTCATTGTTTCTAATGACAACATATGAACTCTAATCTTGACTTTACATACATGTTAACCTAACCCAAGACCTTAACCCAGATTGGTTATTACTACAGTTACTGTATTTTACCAAAATATCCAAAACTTGTTGAATTAATACCAGGGGGGACCACCATTTTGTAATCTTAAACGCTAATCTTTCAATCCGAAGGGAACTGACCTTCCACAGCTTCTCAGGCAGCAACTCACTCTCCACACCACTTTTTGAAACCACGTGATCTGGGATTCTAAACAAGCTTAATTATTACAGATAAGTGATTATTTTCAGTTTGGACGAGCAACTTCATTAATGTCTCAGTTAAGGGTTTTGAAACTAACTGGCACAGCTGCATATCGTGAAGGTACATTTTCGGTTTTAAGGCTGTAAATATTACAGTAGCTAGTATTATCCTACCAGTCAAGTATCTTTTAGCAAAATTTTATTTTGAAGGATTTATGGACTTGAAATTGTACAGTACTGTACTGTATTAGTAATTTTGTATCTGTGCATTATATATGTCTTCTAGATGGATGTAATATTCAATAGAAGTTAAAGATAAATGTTTGTATTGTAATTTAGTTTTTATTATTTATTGAAAAATAAAGATTTCCGGTTGTTGGGGACAGAAAGCTTGTACAGTACTTTAGTTTATCAGGACCCCCCCCACTTCCCTATTGGCACACTACTGATCTTTCCAAGGATGCTACCCACAGCAATCTTCTAACTGGGGTATATATATTTACTGCAAGGTGAACAGATGCATATGGTGAAAAGAAACATTGTCAAAAACTTCTCTCCTGCAATAGGGATTGAATCTTGGGTACTTGATTGTATGCTAATGACGTAGACCATTGTGTCATCAGTGGTTGGCTTGGAACTAAATATTATAATCATACAGTTGCTGGAAATATACTGTAAAGTGAGTAAGAAAATAACTAAAGGGAGAGTCTATGTTGATTTTCAGTCATATCTGTTGCTTTGAATAATTTAAACATTTAAATTTAGCATCATGTTCCTAAAATACAGTACAATTTCTTTTTTTTGTCTAGAGCATGCTTATTTGCAATTTGCATTCAGTGAGTGAGAATAAGCTTCAGCTAGTTTTGATACACTATGTTTTTGGTACTTTTCTTTACCATCCTCACATCTCAGAGAAAATTGCCAGATGGCCTTATTTAACTAACCTTAATTTGGCCTTTCAAATATGTATTCAACCTTCCCTTCTCTACGTCCATTCCAGTTTGTGCTACAGGGCTCTCTTTCTCGAAGCTGTTGGCAAAGGCTAAGAGTTATCTTCTTTGAGAAGTTTAGTTTTATCTTCAGAGCAACTCTTTTTGGACCCACCTCTTGCCAGGTGGTGATTGGGGCCCCAGTTGCCAAACATGACCTGTTGGTGAGTTGATGATTTTTTATATTGTGTGTGTTTTGCTTTGCAGTGGCTTGTGTAGGACAAAACTGAGCCAATTGCTGGGACATTGGCAAGACATCTCCTGCCTTGATCATGAGTCGATGTGGTGTTACACTTCCTGTGTGACAGGGAGATCATTTGCCTTATCTGTGCTGGTTGGGTCACAACTTTTCAGAGTGTTCCACTGTGTTTTTTAATTCCGATGGTCATCCCTGCTGCCTCTTGCCAATCTGCTTGCCTTTGCTGGTTTCATGGGGTCTTCTTCATTGTGGGCGTTATGATGATGTTGCTAGTCCTGTGTGTTAGCTGAATGCCTCCTTCAAGCACTTATTTACCTGGTGGCTTCGTGATTTACTTCTTTTGCAGGTCCCAGACATTGTTGCTGAGGAGACAGCTATTCCCTCCAACCACCCACTTTATTTTTTTTTTTTCAAAGTAGGGATTGGAAACTTAAATTTTCAACGCTTATGCCTTTTGCATTTTGCACTCGGCTCCTGAATTTTTATGGTAGGCATTGGTTCTGAAAGTCCACCTCCAGAGAAGTTTCACGCCACTGGTGATGAAAGAAATATTGCCAGAACAAATATGGATACTGTACTTTCAAGAGAAAACTAGATAGTTTTCTTCAAGAAGTGCTGGACCAACTGGGCTGTGGTGGATATGTGGGCCTGTGGGCTGCTCCAAGCAACAGCCTGATGGACCAAGCTCTGTTTGGGGCCAGGAAAACCTCATGCAGGTACAATCATGGAAACACTCAGAACCCCATGCAGGTACAATCCAGGTGTCACCATCACCAGTACAAGAAAAGACCAGGGTCTAGACACAGCAGGGGTTATTGGGTATGCTTCTGCAGCATTCTTGACTGAAATAATGGAGCCCCCCTCTTCCCACCTCTTTCCTGCCTTTGTTCTTGCAGCAGGAAACTTTTTCATGTCTGTGAGGTGGGGATTTGACCCTAGATAACAGTCCCACTCTCCAAACTGCGACCATGGAGAACGGATATTCACTTATACTGGAGGTCAGACCCTGGGTGTTTTATATATTTATTGTTTTGGGTTCCAAGTGATTGATACTTGTTGAGGAGTCACCTTGGTTGCCATTCAACCCGTCCTGTGGTCTGCGTAACAAACCATGAATGTCTGGAGTGTTTAGTCATCGATGTTCTGTTAGCAATCTGCTTCTGATAAGATGATAATGTTTCTCTCTTCAGTTTTAACAGCACTAGCTTTTTTTTTACAGATCTACTTCCAACTTTGCTGTAGTGGACCATCATTAGACAAAACTTCCAGTTATAAGATGTATTCAT